CAAAAGCTGGGTTTGGCCTGTGCCTAAACCTTTTCCATGGCCTCAGGAGTTTGGTTCTGATGTTTGTTGGCGTAATGAACTTTTGCCCACACAGGCCTATCAACAACTTTGGCATGACATTGAAACCCAGGCAACGGTTGTTTGCCCATTTCCGGTTGGGAACGCTATGAAAGGCAGGGCTCACAGATTGAGACCAAAACAGCTGCGAACCTCACAGCATGGTCCAGTTAAGTTAGGTCGTGATGGTGATTTTCAGCCGCAATTTTGTGGAGTGTCTGTCAAACATGCTCAATGGGTGCGTCAAGTGCGTAGACTCCAAACCTTTTGTAGATTGATGACCAGCTCTGCTGACGTGGTCATTCAAGTTGCTGAATCTTGGGGATCCATCTTGCGCGCCAAGGGTTTTGAACCGGACTTTGCAGGTTGGTGGGAAATCAATGAGTGTAAAACCTCAGGGGCTCCGACGCAATATCCAATTGCACCACCGCCCCTGCATGTTGCCACAGCCATGTTTGACAGCCTTGCCAAAGCCACACGGTGCCTTGAATCTGACTTGATGAAGTATTCGCGCCAGTATGCAAAGTACAGACGGGAACAGAATCCCAATTTGATTTTCTCTGATATCAAGCCTTCTGCAGCGCCGGGGGTTGACATCCTGCTGCAGCCGATACGGGCTACAGTGGTTGAAATTGATGAGGAGGAAGGGAAACTGGTCCTTGACAAACCCTGTGCTTTTGCAGAGGAAACCCAGATCCTATGTGATGGGATCCCTTTGGACATCATTCATCATGAAGCCGATGCAGTTTGGGTGCATGATTTTGACAGGGTGAAGGTGGGAATGCCTCTCTCCCAAACCCAGTGTATAGGTACGCCGCAAGCTCTGGCGGACTTATTTGTGAGTGCATGGAAAGAGCGGTGGATGCGTCATGCAGATGTCCCGATTGAGCGTTGGAATGCCATTCTTGCCTTTGCCAAGACCCACATTCCACCTGGTAGATTTCAATGGGATCCCATTTCACCTGTCCAACTTGCCCAAGTGATCAGATCCAAAAAATCCCGCACATCTGCAGGTTTTGACGGTGTGACACTTAGAGATCTCAAAAGTATGCCACCGGCTGTTTTGCGTGCCTTTTGTGACATGTATGCAGTAGCTGAATCAACTGGTGCATGGCCAAGTCAGTTGGTAGATGGCAGGGTGGTTAGCCTGGCCAAGGTGGCTTCACCAAGTGGCCCGTCTGATTTCAGACCCATAACCATTTTTGGCTTATTGTACCGCTGCTGGAGTAGCTTTCATGCACGACAGGCACTGACCAGGTTGGATGAGGTTTTGCCAGCAACTTTGTATGGGAGTAGGCCGGGAAGACATGCCACCCAGATTTGGTCACGACTGTTGTGGACGATCGAGGATTCATTTGCCATGGATGTGCCCCTTACAGGTGCTGTTGCAGATTTGACCAAAGCCTTTAACTTTTTGCCCAGGGTTGTCGTGATGGAACTGGCAGCACACATGGGAATTCCTGCATATGTTTTGCTCTCATGGACTGGAGCGCTCACTAGCATGAGACGACGGTTTCAGCTGCGAGACTCTCTCTCATCGGGAGTTGCGAGTGTGACAGGTGTGCCAGAAGGCTGTGGATTGAGCTGTGTTGCGATGGTCCTGGTGGATGTTTGCTTTCACACATGGATGAGGGTGTATTTCCCGCTGTGTATGCCTGTGTCTTTTGTGGATGATTGGCAGCTTCTCACTTGCCATCCCACCCTGCTTCAGGGAGCCATTGACTGTATGAATCGCTTTGTCACGGCAATGGATCTTCATCTTGATGACAGGAAGGCTTATGCATGGTCCATTTCCACTGAAGGCCGCACTCTTTTGCGCACACAGGGTTTCAAAGTGGTGTTGGGGGCCAAGAATTTGGGAGCCCATGTTCAACTCTCCAGAAAACACACCAATTCTGCACTTCAAGATCGAATTTTGGACATGACTGACATATGGCCTAGGTTGCGCCTTTCCGCATGCAGATATGGGAACAAGATCAAAGCACTAGTCACGGCTGCATGGCCGCGTGCATTACACGCCATCGCAGCGAACACTGTCAGTGATGCTTCCTTTCAAAAATTGCGTGCTGGAGCAGTCAAGGGATTGGGAGTAGATGGTGCAGGCGTCAACGCCTGGATCCAGCTAGGGTTAATAGAGCAAGCCACTGTTGACCCCCAATGCTGGGCCATTTTGCAAACATTTCGGTGCATCAGGGATTGTGGTGATAAAGGTAGAGTTCTGAAAATGCTGTCTGCTTTGGCCTATGGAGATGCTACCCAACCGGCCAACAGCTTTACCATGACTTTACTTGCTCGTGTGCAGTTCTTAGGCTGGCACGTCACACCGCAGGGAACCCTGTATGACTGCCTAGGTGAATTTTGCCTCTTTTCTTGCTGCCTGACCGAGCTGCGTATGAGAATTGGCTGGGCTTGGCAAATGGTTGTTGCACAACAAGTGAAACACAGGTGGGGATTGCGAGACTTGCAGTTTGCAGATCCGACGGACACGAGACTTTGGCTGGCTGGTCTTTCGTATGATGATCGGGCTTTGTTTCAGAAGTGCTTGAATGGGTCCCACATAACGCAAGACTGTAAGGTTCACTGCCAGGAGGCGGGAAGTGATCTCTGTCCATTCTGTCAGTCAGTTGACAGCAGGTTTCATCGGTTTTGGGTTTGTGACAAGTTTGAACCATTAAGAGCCACATTGCCTGACAGCTTGCGCAAACTTGTTGCTGATGCACCAGAATTTTTGACATGCTATGGCTGGAGTGTTAGACCCCATACTCTCCGCAGATGGTATGCGTGTCTTCACCAGATTTGTGTGCCGCCACCACCCTACCTTCTTGAGGTCACGGGTGATTTGCATTTTTTCACTGATGGCAGTTGTTTAAATCAACATGATGCTTCCTGTCGAGTTGCTTCCTGGTCTGTAGTTCGTGCGTGGACAAGTGCAGATACTCCTAGCGAAGTAATTGACAGTGGCCCCCTGCCGGGTATGCTTCAAAGTTCCTATCGAGCTGAAATTTATGCTATTTACAGAGCTTTGTTGATTGGTCGTGCACATCCAGTCCGTCTTTTCCTGTGGACTGATTGCAATGCGGTAGTCAAAAGATTTTTGCGTTTGCAGAGGGGTTTGGCCCCACGCCCAAACAGTGCTCATGCCGACTTGTGGCTTGCAATTGCAGAGTGTTTGAGTGATTTTCCGCATGAAGTAACCATAACCAAAGTTTTAGCACATCAGAAGGAACAACATGCTTGTAGCCCTTTGGAAGACTGGTGTATTAGGAATAATGCTCTGGCTGACAAAGCTGCACTCTTGGCTCAGTGGCGCCGACCGGAGGGATTTTGGTCTGAGTATGCTTGTCATGTTAATGCGGTACAGGCCAGCCGAGATTTTTCCCGCGCGGTGCAGCAGGTCATTTTGGCCATCAGCAAAGAAGTGGTACGTGCCATGGATGAACCTGATGTTGAACTCCGTGAGGAGTTATGCTGCTCTCCTGAGGTTCCTGCTCAAGCGTGTCGGACTATTTCTGCCCTTCACATTCCCCCAGCGGCGACCAGATGGTATGGTGATGGAGTGGTAAGGCAGATCCTCTCCTGGTATTGGCAAAACACGTATGGTAATGAATTTCCGACTGTTTGGGTGTCCCAATTTCAATTGTATATTGACTTCCTGTTGGCCGGGGGTGTTGGTCCCATCAAGCTAACGCATTGGCAAGCTGGGTCAAGCAGGCCTGAATTGGAGTTGTTGAACATACCATTTCAGCGAAGGACAAGATGGTTTTGCAAAGTTCTCAAGGAGGCCTTGCGTCACCACGGCCTTGGAATCTCATACCAGTATTGCAGACCTGTGTCACGGGCATTAAATTTGCATACAGGGTGCCTGGCCACTCCATGGCCACCGGATAGGCTTGCTGCAGTTGATGACTGGATTTTCAGGATGATTCCCATTGGTGTCCATCGCAATTCCAAAGCTCTGGATTCATTACCTACTGCGAGGCCACATGCCGATTTCCCAACCATTTGGATCTCAACTTGTTAGATGACGCCTTAAAACAGGCTGTCAACGTTTCGACCTTGGCAGCATGTTTAACAAGAGTGGAACAAGAGTGGTGGTTTGGAACATGTTTTATGTTTCCATTCAGTTGGGAATGTCATCATCCCAACTGACGAGTTTTCATATTTTTCAGAGGGGTAGGGCTCAACCACCAACCAGTTATGGATGTCACCCTAAAATACTTATGAAAGTCATGGATGGTGCCCTAAGTCATAGTTGCTTATGATTTGGGGATTGGACATCCATTCACCAGCGGTGTTTTTTGCTTCGTGGATCATCTGGCTTTTTCGAATAACTAGGGTGATCCACTGAAAAGACTGAGGGCTTTTTTCCCCACTAAAAATTATGGTTATGGTTATAATCACTATAAGTAACCATAAGGATATTCAATATCAAAAATAAGTATGGATCATAACTTATTATGGTTATGGATATAATAACTATAATCACTAGGTTTTATCCATATCAAAGGATATTTCTTCAATAGGTATGGATCATCGAAAAAACCTAGCGGTGAACATCCACCTACCCTCTGGCAAACATACAAAAAACGAACTGGAAAGATCCACCATTGTCCATGGATAAATCAACGAACTTTCGACTGGGCCATGGCTTCCAGTTCGCAAAAACTCGGGTGATATCATAAATACTTTGATATCATAGTGATGGGTTAATTTTAAAAAAAAGTTTTTTCGATGATCATAGTGATACCCTCTGGTAAACTAACATAGCTATTGAAAATGGCCCAGTCGAAATAGTGGATTTTCCCATAAAAAAATGGTGGATCTTTCCATAGTTACGTTAGTTTACCAGAGGGTATAATCACTAGTTATGGTTCTGGTTGGGATCCTCGAAAAAACTCGGGTGATCCAGGCCTAAGCTACTTCCGCTTGGTGGGATGATCCAGGCTGTGTCCATCGATGACTTCTACTTGCCTGCGACGTGGCAAGAGGCCAGATGACTTGGGATCATATCATGTGAAATAGCTATTGAATAATGATTAGTTCAATAGCTAGTTATCATTTACCTATAGTTATCTAATTAATGGTTATTAACTATGTAATCATATAATATATATGGTTACCCTCTGGTAAACATACAAAAAGCTATCGAACATGGTAATTTATAGTGGATTTTCCAATTGAAAATGGTGGATCTTTCCATAGTTATGTTAGTTTAACTATCCTCTGGTTATGACTAACTCACAGTTCGCCATGGTTAAGCCATGGCCCTAATGGAAAGTTCGATGGTTTACCGTTCTTTTAAAAATGCATGGTGATTCTTTCCATGGCGAACTGTGAATGTCATAACCAGATGATATCCTAAAATATCCAGTTGGTAAATTGTATTAATGACATAGTTCTGTGGTGAAAAATGAAATCAACCCTCTGGTTATGACTAACAGTTTGCCATGGTTAAGCCATGGCCCATAGAAATAGATGGCTTACCATGGTTTACCGATTAATAGCATGGTGATTTTCCATGGCGAACTGTTAAATAACAAGATGGTATATTCATTTATATTAGGACACTGGTTTATATGCCAATGTATAGACATGTGCAATATATTAAATCATAGCATGCAAACATGTTGTATATGTCGCATACTATGTTGGTGGATCATGTTTTGGAAAATGAGTCATGGGGGCACCCCAAACTCAAGGATGACCTCCATAAGTTCCGAATTTTTTGGTTGCCAATTTCCATCTGACTTGCCTGACTTGCGAACTGTTCGCAAGTGAAATTGTCACTGCTTGGTGGTTTGGAACATGTTTTCCATATAAGTTCATAATCCCAACTGCCGAGTTTTCATATTTTTCAGAGGGGTAGGGCTCAAGCACCAACCAGGTCATGTTGCATCACTTTTGCCCAGGAAGTGGCCAATGTCTACTCGGACAATGCGCTCTTGCAGTGCCCTGGCGGTGAGAAATTCCCCCCCGTTTTGGGGGCAGAGGGCAGGAGGTTTCCTGAAAGGGAAAGGGTTCACCAAATCGAATCCAGTCGTCATTCGGCTTTAGGATTGACACCTATGGTTTTTTGGTGGTTTCAAACATTCTTTATTTTTCCATATATTGGGAATGTCATCATCCCAACTGACTTTCATATTTTTCAGAGGGGTAGGTCAACCACCAACCAGCTTTGTTGACTTGGGGATCCCATTTTAAGAAGCTCCCAATTTGTATGAGTAGACTATAAGCCGAAGTAGATTTGGGAACAAATAAATATCACGACTTCTGAAGCATTGGAGTACATAGATCTTTGACATCCCAAGTTCCCAAGCCTGGTGGCATCTCAAACAAAGGTCTTGCTTGAAGCAACGCTTGAATGCAAAGATAGAATTGACCATAATAGTCATGGGGGTACCCCCAAATCATCTTCAAATCATCCAGCTACAGAATGATTTTCCATTATAAACCAGCCAGCTTTTGGGGTACCACCATTTATGGAAAACCTCATATATATATAGCATAGAAGCAAGAAAAAGGAATGTTGTTTTTGTTGGTCTAACCTTGGTCAACATATAAATACATGATGAAGAACACTTGCTTTCAACACCATTTAAACAATTTATACCATTTATTGGAAGAAAACAATGGAAAACATCCCCCCCAACCATTGGAAGCAATGATTTTTTTCGATCTAATCCATTATATCCCCATGAAATGCTTATGAAGTTCCATTCCATCATCGTTCTATCTACAGGATGGTGCCCCAGTTTTAAGTTGGTTTATAAACCCCGTCTAACTATAGGAGCTGAAACTGTTCTGAAAAGTTATACCCATATGAATCCCTACAGGATGGGGCCTCCCAGTTATAAGTTGGTTTATAAACACCATTAATATCCATGAAATCTAGTTATATCTACCATAAACCCTAGAATTCAAGCACTTATACTTAGATGGGCCATAGGAACAACGCGACTCCTGGATATGTTTACCCCCAATTACTCCCAATGAACCAATTGTTTGTAGTCAACTTAGCCAACTATCAGACTCCATCCTCAGTGGGAATTCCAGGATCCTAAAATGGAGGTACTGTACCATATAAGGCCATATTTTGCTGGGATATTCCCTGAAATTTAGGCCTGAAAAATAGGCCTTATTTCTATGGAATCGGTACCTCCAAAATCGGATCCTGTTGCATGTCCATTGACTATATGATATTATTATATCACTATCAGTTGGGATGATTATACCCAATATATGGTTAAAAAAACATGTTCCAAACCACCAACCATTGATATCAGACTCCATCCTGTAGTAAAATACCAAAAAGCGCTGCGTTTATTGCGTCCCAGAAGCCGCGGAAATGCCGGCACCCACGACATTCGCCTGGGCTCAGAGACGCTAAAGGCTGGGAGATGAACACGGGAGAAGCCGCAGGCAAAAAATATGGTGATTTGAGCAACAAAAATGGGGATATCATGGGGATATAAATATAAATATATAATACCCACCATTCTTAATGGGTAAATCAACGAACTTTCTATGGCCATGTTCAATAGCTTGTTGTATGTTTATCAGAGGGTACTGATAGAACAGCAATAGTAAAACAATACCCAGATGCTCCATCGTGCTGGAATATTTACCTACAAGACTGTGCCATTTTTGGGGTAAATGTAGGTGAATCTTGCAGCACCATGCAGCATCTGGGATAGGGATTTAAAATGATAAAAACCAGATTTTGAGTGGATTGAATGTCGGTTTAAAAAAACTTCATTTCAATGGATTTGATGTAACATGGAGAGTTAAATGGTGGTTTAAATGGGGATCCATGGGGATTTGGCTATCACAGATCGCGGCTTCTAGTGGGGATATCATGGAAAGTAATGGAATATCATGGATTATCAAGCGGATTAAAATATGACCGGGCTATTTTCCTGAGAATATCCATGGGATTGACTTAATGGGGATTAGTTGATTCAATTGTATCAAGTTTTTCCGAATGAGCATGGGGTGTGAATGTTGTGAATTTCTTTAAATGTTGACTTTGAGACGACAACTAGGTATGGTTCAAAAATGAAGTACCAATCTACCTGCACATTGGGTTGTCTTTGATTTATCCGTGGAAGTGCTAGGGATGAGCTGATCGTGCAGCTGTTCATGTGGTTTTAAAGGTTGCCGGCATTGCCTTATTGGTGGCCCATGCTGGTATGATGAAACTGGACGGTATCCCAAGTCAAACCTGGTACTTGGTTTCACTTGTGTTTTAACCATCTTACTTACAATGTGAGGCCCCCCAGTTACAAGTTGGTTTATAAGCCCCAGTAACTATAGTTATAAGTACCATAAACCATAGTTATTGGAGTTATAAACCAACTTAGATATCTTGGGGGCCTCACATTGTAGGATAATCTCTGGATTTATGATTTTTTGGGTGCAGATGGAAGGTTTGTCAACACCAGGTGCAGACAACGGGCCCCTTTTCAGGCTCTGAAAAGCGCAGAGGAAGGAGAGGTTCGCGGGGTGAGGAAAGCCTTGGTAAAGATGACTGGTTGGTGGTTTGGAACATGATTTTTATGACTTTCCATTCCGTTGGGAATAGTAACCCCAACTATTTAATCATCCATTATATCATCTATATATCATCCATATATATATATACATATATACTATATATTATCCATTTAGTAATGATCACAACTGAGGAACTCATATTTTCATATTTTTCAGAGGGGTAGGGCTCAACCACCAACCAGATGAAGCCTTGGATCATTTTTGATCCAAAAAAACATGTGAAATCTGCAGATCTTTTTTTGGTGGATTCGATCAGCCTGCAGATTCCTTGACTGAACTCAGGTTCCATGATGTTCTTACTGGTGCGTTTTACGCAGGGAATTTTCGGGAATGATCCCAGTCATCACATTCGTAATGTCATCATCCCAGCAACCCCCAGCAACCCATCCATTCCCTACGTTTAGCACCAGTAAGTGTTGCGTTGCTTTTTTTCCCTATGCCGCCCCTTTTGATGGATGCGTCATTACATCCACTCACTTCACCCTTCTTGGTCAGATTCCTCATCTTCTGGTGGAATTTGGGAATTTCCCCTGGTCAATGTTTGAAAATCTGCATTGTTCATGGTAAATACACCCAAAAAATGCGTGAAAGTACTAAGATGATGGGCTAAAGCACCATTTTTAAGGCTATAAATGGAAGGTCAACCGGTCGCCAGGTGCTAGTCCCTCGCTTCGACAAATCCGCGCTCAACGGACGTGGAGACCAGGTGGGTGTTGGAAGTTTGGAAGTTGGGGACTTGGAGGATCAGCAACTGATCAGTAACCAGAATAAACTGGTTATTGATCAGCCAGTCATCGTCATTAATAATCAGTTAACCATAATATATGATGATGGTTAATGGTTAACTGGCTGTGGTTTGGAACATTTTTTATTTTCCATAATATTTATGGGATAATCCTTCCCAACTGACTTTGATATTTTTCAGAGGGGTTGAAACCACCAACCATAATATATTGGGATAGAAAAGCACATCCTGCAACCTTTGGTGTTTGTGTTATTTCACCATAGTTATACCATGTTATACCCAATTGTTGGGAATATAAACCATAGTTTGGATATAAGCCCCATAATCAATGGATTATACATCTGGGTAAATTATAACGAACTCACTGTTCTCCCTCACTAGAGTCATATTTAATAAGGGAAATCATCCCCAAATGGCCTTAATTCAGGTTAGTGAAATATTTTTATTTACCCAGATAATAGTACACCATAGTCAGGGTACTTGTAATTGGGTACCATAATAGTAATTGGTGCTTTGGGATATAATATGATATATATAATCCTTTAATTAATTGGGTATGTGCTGAGTAAGCATAGTTAGTGCACCCGCTTATTGGGATATAATAGCACTTGAATGGGCCATAGGATTAGCTAACTAGGCTAACTGGTTAGTAACTGGGGTTTGTTTACCCCAAAAAAATCCCAATGAAATAAGCCATTTACTAACTAGTTAACTAACTCCACGGCCCATTTGGTAAACATACAAAAAGCTCTTGAAAATGGCCATTTAGTTCGTGGGCTTACCCATATAAAATGGTGGGTCTTTCCATAGTTTTTTGTATGTTTGCCAGGCCGGGTATAATAGCATAGATATCAGTGGGATGTTGGGAGAATATCACCTACTTGGTGCCTCTTGGTGGCTGATTTTAGAGATCTTGAAGTAGGTGAGTTCACCCTGGATGAACTAAGCTATTCATTAAGCATATTATAGCTAATATGATGTTATCATACTTATGCTTGGTTATTCATAATTAAGCTTATTCTATTTATAGTTATACTAATCATATATCAATCATAATGACTTGGAGGATCATCCCACGGATCGTAACTAGCTTAGTTCACCAAGTCATGGGGATGATCCCTAAGTAGGATGATCCTCCAAGCATCCAAGCATCCCTCCATCGTGGCATGGTTAGCTAATGACCTAATGTTCAATTGAAAAATATTATTACAACATTAGGTCATTAGGTAATGATCAATTGATATAACCTCATTAGCATAATATATGACTCGACATTACCTATATAGAACCTATGACATTACCTAATTTACCTAATGAACCTCAATTGAATGCCAATGATTTATACATCTTATTGAGAATTCTTGATCAAAGACTAGTCATAGTACATTGTTAATCATTGATCAATATTCGTCTTTAAACAGCAATAATTTCGTATTATTTCATGCCCCTGCATCGATTGTTTCCATCCATAGTATTTGTATTTGCTATTGTGCTGTTGTATTTTAAATCTTGTATATGCTTGGAAGCTGTGATTTTTAACGGATCAGGAGGGATATCTTTCACTCTGTTGAAAGCTGTTGATTATTCATTCTTGGATTAGTAGATTGGCAACGGACCAATGATTAACTCAATTTCGTAGATTGGCATAGATTTCAACACCTTATCTCATCTCTTCTAATCTGCTTCCAACATGATCCCATGCTCCGGTGTTGATTCTACTTCTGAGAAAAGGCTATCAAAATACGTGCTACATTATTTGATCACACGTAAACTTCGTGCTTGCTTTGGAGGAGCACACTTCTTCGCACGCCGCTGATCTTTGACACATCTTGACATTTTGATTTGGTTGGGTGTTGGCAATGTGTTTTTGTTCTCCTGACTGGACATGATTGCCAGTATTGCCCGTGAGAATCCATGAATCCATGAGGCAGTTTTGTTGGCTCAGGGGAAGCCAAGTACATTCCACTCGCAGCTTTCAAGTCTTTTCACCATGCCACGTGGACTTCCCGGACTTCCAGGAGGGGACATGGGGCTTGATGGGGCTGGCTTAGGCATCTTCGGCGCAATTCTTGGAGGACTTTTCAACCTTCTCCTACCAAGGTTGCAACAAACTCCCAGTTGGGAGGAGCTTCGGAAGTCAATCAACCTGTCAGACCACAAAATGACGAATCTCCTGACCCATTCCAAAGGCAGGCACGGTTTCTCAGATGGATGCGGCATCCAGTGTATCGAATATGTTCACGAAGATCCCGGTGGTAAGGGGAAGATCATCAAAATCAGCAAGGCATCTGACGGCAAAGGTCTTAAAATTTACTGGGAAGGCATATGTGAGCATGGTTGCGTGATCGTGATTGAGTACTACTTTAATGAGATCGAGCTGAACATGCATGTATCTACCGCTTACCACAAAAATGGTGAGTGTAAGCTTAGGTGCCAAGCAAGGCTTTGAGTGCTTGGTAGGCACTCTGTCAAGCCGCCTGGCGATTTTTTAATTTGGCAACCCAGAAGTTCAAAGGTGGTGCTGGAACTGTAGCATGTTGGCTTTGATGTCGATGGAACTGGAGCATGTGTTGCTATTGTTTGCTTCACTGAAGCTACCCTCTGGTAAACATACAAAAAACTATGGGAAAACACCATTTTTAATGGGTAAATCAGCTCTAAATGGCAATTTTCAATAGCTATGTTCGTTTACCAGAGGGTATCAGCCGGATTGGGTGATCCAATCTTATTTCAGCTCCATCCTGCTTACTGATTCATTGTGACACTTGTGCCCGGTTCCATACGCTCGCATTGTAGTCATTCCAGATTGACAGGCTCAGACTTTTGTGCCCAGCATGAAAAACAAAAGGGTGTCGCAAAGAACTGTTTCTGGTTGGTGGTTTGGAACATTTTTTTTTTGTCCATACATCAGGGTAAATTATAACGACCTCACTGCGACCTCACTGGAATCATGGTTAATAAGGGAAATCATCCCCAAATGGCCTTAATTCAGCTTAGTGAAATATTATAATTTACCCAGATATATTGGTAATAATAATCTTAACTGACTTTCATATTTTTCAGAGGGGTAGGTTTACCACCAACCAGGTTTGGGCGGTTCCGCGGGTAAGTCATCCAGAGCCCAGAGCCTTGCCAAGAACCCCAGCCCCGAAACCCACGTTAGCGCCTCATGATGCAAAGACCGAGTGTTTTTTTGCAAAAATGGAATATGACTGCACGGCTTTCAAACATTGATTTGAAACAGAAACCCATAGGATCCTTGTATGGTCTATATGCTTACATGTGGGGGTATAATGATGGGATCCATGTTACCATATATACCATACATGGATCCTATGGGGTATGTGTAAGTTTACAAGCTGTAAACCCAGAAACCTCCAAAAGCAACTCCTTCAGAATGGTCTGATCGGGCATTCTTTTCTTGACATTTTTAGAGTTGTGCGGATCAATTGCTGCCCCCACACGAGCTTGACCCTTTCCCAAGGGGATCTCCACTTCATGAAGTCTCAACTTCCTCAGAATTGGATAGGAAAATCACAGGGAAACCTCTAGCTGGTTGGTGGTTCGGAACATGAACTATTGTTTTCCATATATTGGGAATGTCATAATCCCAACTGACGAACTCCATCATTGTTCAGAGGGGTAGGTAGCCCCCACCAACCAGATAATTCATCATCAACCATCATCAACCATCATTAACCATCATTAACCACCATTAATCACCATTAACCAAGTAGGTAGCCCCCACCAACCAGTATTGTTATCCCATTATTATCCCATTATTATCCCATTATTATCCATATGATTATCCATATTAAAGCATATTAAACCATATAAAACCATATTAAATCCATATTAAAACCACATTAAAACCATATTAAATCCATATTAAAGCCATATATCTGAAGCCACCAGTCTGTCGACTTGGTGGTAGCCACACCCCTGGTTTTCGGGCCGCGGCCAGGTGCCGAAACATCGCTGGACTCCCGTTGCCCTTCCCTGCGACGTGGTGGTCCTCGAAGGATGGCGAGGGACACCCAGTCCGCTGGCGACCAGGACAAACCCATATATATAAAACTACTTACCATATATCTATGGACATCTATGGAAATCTATGGAAAACTATTGTCCATTAGCTATGGAAATCTATGTAACTATACCCATATTTTGGGGGTGAATGTAGCTGGGTAAATTATAACGACCTCACTGTTCTCCCTCACTGGAATCATGGTTAGTAAGGGAAATCATCCCCAAATGGCCTTAATTCAGGTTAGTGAAGTATTATAATTTGCCCAGATAAAAGTAAGTATAATAGTGGGTTAATAGTAACTATATACATAAAAGTAACTATAATAGTGGGTTAATAGTAACTATAATAATGTAATATATGTAGAATATATCTGGGTAAATTATAATAGATATATGTGTGTGTCTGAAAATGTAGTGTACCCCATTGTAGCCAATGGTTTTCATGATCATTATCCCGTTTTGAAATGGCTATTTCATTGGGAATATACCCTATTTTCAGACAAACCCAAATGGAAGGTTTCTGACTTGGAAATCATTGGAATATTGCAGGTGAATTTACTGGTTGGTGGTTTGGAACCATGGATTTTTTTATGACTTTCCATTCAAATTTATGGAACTAACTGGGAGAATGGAAGGTTTCTGACTGGGTTTACCACATTGCTGGTTGGTGGTTTACCACATTGCTGGTACTTTTTTCCATATATTGGGAATGATCATCCCAAATGGAAGGTTTCTGACTCTAGCACATTGGAATATCATGGGGATATAATGCTGATATAATGCTTCATGGAATATCATTTCCTTATCATCACCACATATATCCAAGAACTAGGCAACCGGTTGACTCGGCGCCCTTGTAAGGGTGACGAATTTGAAATTGTCATTTTTGAGGGTAAGAGAGAAAATGCTGGTATTTGCAGGAGTCGTCAAAAAATGTGTACAACATGGACATTCATTTCGATTGGCAGGCGTGTGACTCAAGGGTGAAAATTTGAATTTCGCCTGCGCGCTGACTCGATTTTTCTCTTCAGGGGTGAAAAAAAAAACATTAGAATTTTATGATTTTAAGTCATCCAAATCACATCAATCAAGGCGGTATTCAATCCTCTTTTTTTCCCACTGTTCGAGGTTAGCGGTGCCAGAGTGCTTGTGGCAGTGCTGATGCTACAGTCTGTAACAAGGCAGCGTTGTGACGCCAAGTCCAGCTGTAAGCATAACTGTACCGTTTTTGGTACACCTGTTGTTTCTTTTGTGGAGCATGGATTGAGGTCGCCATTTTTTTAAGTGTTTCCAAGTTCCATCAAGTTGTTGAGTTCCAGCAATAATGGTTCTAGAGGAAATCCAACCACGACCAACATAGGTTCACGCAGGAAATCCGCAAAAAGCGCGTCAGACAATGCAAGATGTCAGCAACGGCAACCTCTTCTGTAACGTAAAGGAAGTGCTCGATACGAACGTTAACATCCCCCCCCACCCCCCCTGACGATCATACGACAACAAATGCAACATGTGCCTCTTCCGTACCGTGAGGGAAGCGCTCGACACGAACGTTAACATCCCCCCCCACCCCCCCCTGACGATCATACGACAACATATGCAACCTGTGCCTCTTCCATGTGCAACACGTTAAAAAATCGAAAATTTCAAATCCTATACCCCCATTTCGGAAAACCTCATTTTTGAAATTTGCAACCCTTCCACGGGATCGTAAATGGCACATCTCAAAATCGACAACCCTTCCAAGGGCGCCGTATCAGCCGCATGCCAAGAACTACGATACATTAGTAAGGGGATTATAAGCCATATCAGTGTGCATATCCTGTCAATCAATAATTTTTACCATGGTTATTAGCCATTTACCCCGGATTCAATGCGACAATCAATGGGATTTGATGAGGCAATGAATAGTAATATTACAACTGGTTGGCGGTTTGGAACATGTTTGGATTTTGACTTTCCATTCAGTTGGGAATTTCACAACCCCAACTGACGAACTCCACCATTTTTCAGAGGGGTAGGTATACCACCAACCACGCAGGTAAATTCTAAATTGCAACTAAGTTCGGGGAAACTGATGCTGTTACCTGCTGAAGCTTTTATTTACCGACAGAATCCTGGTATAAACATGCTGGGAGCAACACATTTAGGGGCACGAACCCGTGAGCCTAATTTTCCATGAAGTGATGAAGGGAGAATTTACCGGATGCCCCTAAGATTTACAGTGTAGAAAGCTGAAATGTCCAATTTGCATGTTTTCCCTGTAAAACCAAGCCCAATGATTGTAAATTGTAAAACCAATAATTTTCAAAGACTGTCCATTTTAGAAAACCGAGTAAGTTCCATTAAGTTCCATAAATTTCCATAAATAACAAGTCATTTCCAGAATGTCTAAATTTCCGGTGGTTCTTGTTGCCCTTCAACCCCAGCCCCCAATGAAAATCAGCCACGTCCGGGGCAGCTGAGGATGGTTGGCTTTAAGGCTGAAGAGAACAGCCAAGCTCGAAAACTCAGATTCGCAGCTGTACCTTAGGAGCTTGTCAAGCTGTCAAGCTGGGATGAATTTCTAGGGCTATAACTATATCTGGTTGGTGGTTTGAAACATGTTTTATTTTCCACAATTAATGGGAGAGTCCTTCCCATTGACGAACTCATATTTTTCATCGTGGTTAAAACCACCAACCAGATATTATAATTGATTATGCTATAACTATCTTTAACTAATCATGTATAGTTAATAATGATATTAAGTATATATTATAGTGTTATAACTATATACCTATATGTTATAGTTAATCACTTCCTAATGATATTATTACTAAGTGCATGGTTAGTATCAACTTCCTATCAACTAACTGTTCTCAAATGGTTCTCAATAGATCCCCTCTGGTAAATTAACAGTTCAACCCTGAAAACATCCAATTTCGGAAACGAATCTTCCAACCCGTATCTGCTAAGGTTCTATGTTAATTTACTGGAGTGTAGGTGATATAAGCGGTGATTGGGATAATGAAATATCAGTGGGATATAACATGTCATGTCGATTTCTTATTAGGCGTAATGCAAAGGTAATACAAGTGTGGTGTAATACAAATGCATGTGAGATATAAAGGTGATTTAAATATTACACCCCAGTATGGATTTAGAATGTGATTTCGTTATACATGTATTGTGGTGTCACATGCAACGAGGATCCCTCTTCCCAGAATTGGAGTAATTCACCCCGCTTCGCGTGGGGTGGCCGCCCACACCGCAGGTTTATTTCGGTCCGTGAGAGGGGCTAAGGGCCCCGTGGAGGCTTCCCAAGCTAAGAATTTTCACTTTCCCCCCCCGTGGGGGCTCCCCAAGCTAGGGAATTTTCACTTTTCCCTCGTGGGGGCTTCCAAGCTAAGAATTTTCACTTTCCCCCCCGTGGGGGCTCCCCAAGCTAGGGAATTTTCACTTTTCCCCCCCGTGGGGGCTTCCCAAGCTAGGGAATTTTCAGTTTTCCCCCCCCGTGGGGGCTCCCCAAGCTAGGGAATTTTCACTTTTCCCCCCCGTGGGGGCTTCCCAAGCTAGGGAATTTTCACTTTTCCCCTCGTGGGGGCTCCCCAAGCTAGGGAATTTTCACTTTTCCCCGCCGTGGGGGTTTCCCAAGCTATGGAATTTTCACTTTTACCTCCCTTGGAGACTCTCCAAGCTACGGAATTTCAAATAGCTAGACAACGACGCCTAGATAGTCCCCCTAATCCAAGTAGAACCTCCTCTGTGAAGACCTGCTTCTGTGTTGAGCCAGTCCTGCAAGTAGATCTAGATTGCAGGTCCATACTGTAGGCATAAAGCTATATACTTGCATGCCAACAGCTGTGCATTTTCAATCCCAAAGAAGAGCGGCCTGGAGTTCAAATCTATCGTCAAAGTTGTTCAGCCGATATGTTTTCGATGCCCACTCAAGAGCAGCCTGTGAGGGACGAGAAATTCCGCACAAACAAGCGATTACCTATTGGTGATGATGGTGGTTATATGGTGCACAAATAGACAACAATGATCGAGATGGCGACGGGTGATGGTCATTATAACCATGATGATTTTAATGGTGATGGCAATGGTGCAGGCTTTGGTGATCACAAACTGCCCCTGGCCTTCACAGATTTCAGTGCGGGCCGGTCCCCCACAAAATCAGTAATGCTCACCCAGCGCAAGTAGAAGTCGTAGTTGGGGTCCATGGTCACCTGTCCATATTGATCATCAAATGCCCATTGGAAAAGTCAACGCATAACGACACAACTGTATGAATGAATAGATCGATCAAATCAAGATCTTAAGAGATAAAACCCTTGCCTGATCCTCATTAATAAATGGCGAGATGATGTCCACGAAGGAGAAGACCACATCCGCCTTTGGGGGCATTGGTTTTGGAGATGCCGTGTTGTGTAACAACATTGCCGGCCTTGGGGTCCCTCTGGCTTTTCAAGATTTCTTGGCGCCGCTTGTTGATATACTCGGGGTCAGACAAAAAGCTTTCATAGAACTCCTGGCCATTGAGTGACATCTACCATCAGCGTTGAGGATCCAGTTGGGTATGTCCAAAAACGATCCTTTATTTCTTGCACATGGATGCCATCCCCGCCTTCAACAGTTTGACCTGTTCAGGCTTGGGCTTCGACTCCGGCATGGCGGCGGCGAAGCAAAAGCCACAAACAACAGCCGCAGCAGCCAGTTGTAACTAATATATCCCAGTGCTTCCTCGCTAAATAAACCACATTGATGAATCCATTTACTGCGTGATATGATAATGATGATCGATCCTTTCAGGTCTAGAGCACATTTCTCGGGCCATGCGGCGATCGAGAGAGGTTGGTTGGCCAAGATGGCCCACAAAGTTTTCAAATCCATGCTGCATTGCTGAGACTGTCGGGCACAGGAGGCCTAGGCCAGCCGAATGTTGTGGGCCATGCTCGGATCGCAGACCTTTCCAGCACCCCGGTTGGATTCTGAAATGCCTAAAAGCTAACGCCACAGATTGGAAGCCGCTAAGTATCAGACGCTTTCTCAGGGCCAGGTTTCCAACACACATTAGATTGAGCCACAGTGCTCAAGAGGGTAGAGCTAGCGGATGTGAACATGAGGCTGGACAATCCTTGATGTAAGGTTTAGGCCATCCAGTGCTATACAGCACATCTATATATTTAAACCTATGGATCTTCCAACCCCAAGGTTTAACCTTGTCGTTAGTAACCCCAAGGTTTACAAATCCCGTGTTCTTTGAATGTGTTTCCATGTTTTTCCAATGGTTTCCTTCAAAGCACGGTACTTTACACTTTTGTCGCCATAAAACCGGTCGAAAACATCATGTTCGACAATGCTTCCAATTCCCTTATCTCCCCAACCGTTGAAAATACCGCTATTGACAGTGTTTTCTTCAATTTTTCCATGTTCCAATGCCGGTAGCCAACTCCAACATATATATAAGAAATCCTTCCAAAACATTGTTTTTGACAGTGTTTTTCCAATGTTTCCAGCCAAACAGACGGTAATTTACACGTTTTTTGCCACAAAGGCAGTAAATCCTTCCAAAACATTGCTTTTGACAGTGTTTTTGTAATGCTTCCAGTCAAGCATACGGTAATTTACACGTTTTTTGCTATAACGTCAGTCCAAAACACTTGTTTTTGCAGTGTTTTCAATGCTCTGGCATCCAAAAACACTGCAAAATCTTGCTATGTACCATGTTTTTGTCATTTTTGGCCGTTTTTTCATTGCCGGAAAGCTACCAAAATGACCCAAAATTCCATTTCAATACCCTCTTGCGCTCAGACACACAAAAATCGTCGAAAAATGTCGAAAACACCACCGAATTCTGCTCTCGGTGCGAAACCGTTTTTGGCCCCCCCCCCAGCTAAAGCTGATATAGCGACTGCTATATTAACAAATGTCATTGAGCATTTAGTGTTGCTGTTGCCCCCCAATAAGCACGCCGTCACCGCCAAAGCGGTGTGGGCGGATTAAGGGAAAATATGTTAAAATCAGCAGCTTAAAAATTGAGTGGTGACGGTGATATCCGCAATAGTTGGCTGATGTTTTGAAACGCCTCTGCCACCTAAGCTGGGAGCAGAAGGATGTAAATAAAATGGCGTCGTTTCGAAGATAGCTATGAAACACGGACCATTTTTTTGCTCGATGATCTATCTAATTACGTTTCTCATAGTTCTGTTGAATTACCAAAGGATAGCATGTGCCCATCCCAAAACATAAGTAGTGGAACGTTCGGCCTCCAGAAAACTCAGCTTTGCTAATCTTAGCCATTTGTTGAGCAAGATTGGATAACAGTAGGAACTAAAGGAATATGTGTATTATCACTGATTATCATAGAAATACTGTATCATAATGTTGTCATGTTTATGATTATAGTTGTCACTATCATGTTAGTTATCCTTGGATGATAATTACCATAAGTGTCATCATGTCATCATGTCATCATCCTCATCCTTATCCTTTTCCTGCTGCTCCTTATCATCACCACATGTATCCAAGAAGTCCAATACATTAGTAAGGGGATTATAAGCCATATCAGTGTGCATATCCTGTCAATCAGTAATTTGTACCATGGTTCCTAGCCACTTACTCCTAATAATGGGACAATCAATGGGATTTGATGAGACAACCAATAGGAAATTACAACAGGTTGGTGGCTCGGAACATTTTTTCAATTTTTCATATATTGGGAATAACATCCCAACTGACTTTCATATTTTTCAGAGAGGTTGAAACCACCGACCAGACAATGTCTTCGTGCGGATATCATAAATTTTGAGAATGATCATTTTTTCAAGGTTACCCTCTGGTAATTTAACATAGCTTTTGAAAATGACCATTTATATATAGTTGATTTTCCTATTAAACATGGTGATTTTCCAAGCTATGTTAGTTTACCAGAGGGTATCCCTGGCAATGTTTCCAAGACATCCAAGGGGCATGCTGCGCAGCATCTCACGCCAAGGCTGTCGCCGCCGTGAATCGAGATCTGCCGTTGATCAATGAGAAGCTGAAAAAATATCAGGCGCAGAGATGAAACGCGTGGGAAGAAAACTTACAATGTGGGGCCCCCCAGTTATATGGATGTTAATGGATGTTAATATGGATATAAGTCAATGGATGATATGTCTATAGTCAATGTTAATGGATGTTAATGATAGTCAATGGATGTTAATGGATAGTAAATATCTACAATGTTGGGCTCCCCAGTTAAAAGTTGGTTTATAAGCCCCAGTAACTAGTTCGTTATAAGTACCATAAACCATAGTGAAATTGGAGTTATGTTCACCAACTTAGCTATCGAACGGGGGCCTCACATTGGGTGAAATACTTGGATTTCTTTACAGTGATTTGTTCTTTTCCCAACGGAAAAATTCACAAGAATTGGGGAATCTATAGGGATTTTGTGTTTGGGGGTCCTGAAGCGCATCCAAGAAGAAGGATGAAGAATGGGAGATCATGAGTGACTTTATGATATTCTGGATAGATCAGAACGACCACAGCGAGGGGAATCATCCCCAAAATGGCCTCATATCGAGGGGATCGGATATGCTTTGAGAGCTGAGAATACTTTCCATGAAAAAAAGATCAGCTCAGGATGAGCGTGCGACCGATTTTTTCGGGATATGTTTGCCCGAATTACCCTCTGGTAAACATACAAAAAACTATGGAAAATCACCCTTTTCAATGGGTAAATCCACTATTTCAATGGGCCATGTTCAAGAGCTTGATGTATGTTTACCAGAGGGTAAGATAATCCAATCCCAGCATCTCCCCACCACATATCCCCATCATACGGTCCCATTACACATCGTCATTGCATACACAACATTCCAAATTGCTGCCTATTACCCTCTGGTAATTTAACATAGCTATTGAACATGACCATTTATAGTGAGTTTTCCCATCAAAAATGGTGATTTTCATTAACTACGTTAAATTACCAGAGGGTACATTCCAAAGAAATCTGCAAACTCCAAACGAAATTATAACATTTGGAATTTCATGGCAATATTCATGCGTATGTAACGGGTGCCTGAATGTATCAAACTGCATTCCCAAGACATATACCTATTACCCTCCGGTAAACTGCTGGTAATAGTTTGCGAACTGGAAAATCGCCATCTTTAAAAACGGTAAATAATCACAAATGATAGAACTAAATGGGCCATGGCTTCCAGTTCGCAAACTGTTATATAGATTACCAGAGGGTATATTTTATATCCATGATTTTCCTATTTTAATAGGAATTTCTATGAAATAAACCAACCATTTGGGAAATTTGACTAAACCTCCATTATAGGAAACCTATTGTGGAAACCATTTGGAAAACCATTAACAGGATCCATATTTGTCAAATCTGAAGATTTCCTAAGACGGAATTAGCCCTAGTTATCATCCATCTTAGATTGGGATTTTCCATGAAACTAGGTCAATCTTACATGAATACTTTAATCCTAACTAGTCTTTTGGTACTAATAGGAATATCTACTTTCACCAGCAAAGAATTTGTCACTTTTTGCAGGGTATCTAAGATTAGCAATGATAATTAGACTTGGTTTCTTACATGTTGTGAGTCTTAGATGTTTCTATATGTTTCCATAGATCAACCAACCATTTGGAAAATCCCACTGGAAACCTCCAGGGATTCTGCTGGGATTCATTCCAGGCCTGGAACGATTTGATCGACTGCTTCTGTGTTTTCGCTATGGAGGAGATTGATCAAGCGACTCGGCATTGGTGTGACTGAGCCATTTTCACAAAATCTCCTGGTTACCCGGCCTGGTAAACACACAAAAAACTCTTGAACATGGCCCATTTATAGTGGATTTACCCATTAATAGCATGGTGGATCTTTCCATAGTTAGGTAGTTTACCAAGGGCAATTGATTGCCTTTGAGGATTCTACTACCTTGTCTACTGGGGATTATGATGGGCCCCATAGGATTGGGAAAGCGTTTTCAACTGGCTCTCATGGCACATGCCGAGTTTGCCAAGCCTTGGATGGTGGTGGAAAAATTCATCCAAAGTATTCAGACACTGGTGTGATAACCAGCAAAATATATCAAAATATGAGGTTCAATCATCAAAAATGGTGGTTTAGCTTATCTAACCATGTAAAGAACGGGGAATATCGTGCGGAACATGAAGAAATATGCGGGGAAGCCAACTGTTTAGTACTGTTTGTTCTTACATGTTCTTACTGGGGATACCCTCCGGTAAACAAACATAGCTATTGAATATCACCATCTTCAATAGGTAAATCAACTATAAATTGGCAATTCTCAATAGCTATGTTAAATTACCAGAGGGTATCTACTTTTAGAAATCGCTTTTCTGCAGGGTATCAAGGATTGGCCATGTGGTATATGGAGCTTTCCTGCAATGGGGGATCCCCATTTTAGGAAATCTTCATTTCCATAAATTGGTTTTCCGAATGGTTATACAATAAGGTTTCCTATAATGGAGGTTTAATAGAATTTCCCAAATAGTTGGTTCTATAATGAAACATACTATTAAATCAATTTTGCAAACATAGTTTCCTCTGCCTGGATCGTTGATCTAGATACGTCAGAGACCGCAGATACGTGCGATGTGCATATGACCATGTGATGTGTTGATTGCCAAGAAAAGAAGCACCATAAAAAGTTGCAGAATAGTGGATATCAGATTACTATATAATCACATTTTTAAAAAAAAACTTGTATAACTATAGGTGATATATGCATAGGTATTTTCCCAAACACTCTATCCCAATATTATTGATCCCATCACTAAACCACAAAAGACTAAAGTGATGACAATGAATCCCTATATATGTATATACATGTATGAAATATCACAATAGTTTTATTAAGCCCATGTTATCCCATGTTACTATTCATGATTACTTCATATTTCATGTTTTCCCATATGCATGATTATAATATTATACAAATAATTTGTAACCATATCATATATGATACATGATATGATCTCGTAATAATCTGTACTATGACATTATGTATATATATCTGGGTAAATTATAACGACCTCACTGTTCTCCCTCACTGGCATCATGGTTAATAAGGAAAATCATCCCTTTTTTATGGCCTTAATTCAGGTTCGTGAATTACTATAATTTACCCAGATATATGATGATATACAAAGTATCTGATCATACATTTTTGGATTTTACGCTATCCAACTAATAGGATTATCATTAACTCATAACTATAGCTCACTGGATCCAGTAGATGATAATTCTCAGTAGATAGTTACTATGTATATATATATATTACAGTATGTCAATTACCAAATATTTCAAATTAAGCATCTATTATATAATCATATATTATGTTTAATTAAACTCTATACTATTTGATTTAATACTACTAATATTTTATCATGATATTAATCACTATATTATCAACTATAGTATCATAATGTAGTATCATATCTCAAATATGTACTGGATGGTGCCCCCAAGATAGCTAAGTTGTCATATAAGCCTCTTAAGTATGGTTTATGGTAGATATAACGAACTAGTTAATGGGGGGTACAAACCAAGTTATAACTAGGGGGGAACCATCCTTGCAGTTCTCACCTTATTTGCTGTTATCAGTAACATTCACTTGTATATACGTACATAGAACTATCCCATACATATACTGGATGTTTTTTTGGTTTACTACATTGGCGATATTAACCATTAGATGAAATTATACCATATAATTATCCACTGATATAGTACTGATAGTATCCCATTATAATATATTATATAGTATCCCATGATAGTCCTATAGTTATTCCATATTTAGATGATTTAATCATCCATTAGTAGTATAACCATATACTTATCTATCTAATGATGGTCAATATGGAGTAGTATCTATATCATCGTTTGATACTATATACTCTATGGTATTACTATAACTACTATTTAATACTATTTAATAGATACCCTCTGGTTATTTAACATAGCAAAGGAAAATGGCCCATAGAAATAGATGTTTTGTGATGATTTACCTATTAAAAATTGTGATTCTCCATAGGTACGTTAAATAACCAGAGGGTACTATTTAATAACCATATAGTTATCCGACTGATTATTTATAAATAGTAACACCAGATAGTGGGATATAGTTTTGATCGTAACTGTATCCCATATATTAACCAGAGGGTACTATAGTGGGTAATGTTTCATAATCCATACGATATACTATATAATTTAGAGATGGATTCTGAGTATATATACCATATTATATGGATTATGTATCATATATATATATATACTTTATTGTATATGGATTTCCATAATGATAGATTTTCCCATTTCATCATCGTCTGGGGACTTTCACTGCCAAATTTGCTGGGGATTTTAGTTACGTTTAATAACCATTTAGTTATTGAATTATAGTGGGGGGCTATAGTGGGTACTATATCCCACTGTACTAGAGATGGATTATGAGTATATATATAAATATATACCACATATATTTATTTTTATATATATTTATTATATGTACATAAACAATATATCTATATTCTATATTGTATATATATTTACTACAATATATTTGAGTTAATATATATATATTTGAGATCATATACTTAGGTAATTCACAACCATATAGTTAACCATATAATATGAATTACCATATACCATAGTGATATATTATCCCATTGAATCATCCATGATCTCATCGTCTCCTGATCTCCGAGGTCTACACCTGGCGCAGTCAGGCCGAAGAGGCCATGAAGCGCTCCGGACGCCGCCCGGTTTCTGTTCGGCGACCGGCGTCGAGCCGCGGAGACAACGGGGGGAGACAACAAGGGCGAAAAATGCTGGTTTCACCAATAGAAATGGTGGTTTCAGGGCGAAAAAATAGTAGTTGAAGCAAGAGACATGGTGGTTTCATCAACAAAAATCGTGCGTTGAACCAACGGAAATGGTGGTTGAACTGCGAAAATTGATGATTTTAGATGCAAACTGATGACTTAAGCATGAAAAATGAAAAACAATGATGAATTTCAACAGAAATAGTGATTGAGTCATCCACAATATCGATTCAACCTCGTGCGATGCTCAAAATTGGCATGTTTCTACATGTTTCTACTAATCCTACGATACCATCAAAGTTTCAGCAAAAAGAAATCACCAGAATTGGTCGGTCTGGTTGGTGGTTTGGAACATGGATTTAATTTTTCCATTCAGTTGGGAATGAAAAATCATCCCAACTGACTTTCACTCCATCATTTTTCAGAGGGGTTTGGGTATACCACCAACCAGTGGTGTTATCCCATTATTATCCCATTATTACCCCATTATTATCCCATTATTATTCCATTATTATCCATATTAAACCATATTAAAACCATATATCCAGGTATCATCCCTGCACTGAAAAAGCCTCCACACAGTCCACACAGTCCACACGCCGAGGTGATGGGATGAGTCCTTCAGAAGTGAAAGAGTTTGTGGATCGATATATGCCGGCCTATATCGCTTATCGCTTGGGACCCCAGGTTACTTAGATGGGCCATGGTTAGTTAGTTAGTGACAACTACCTTAGTTAACAAATTTAGTTAGTAGCCATGGCTTATTTCATTGGGATTTTTTGAGGTAAACAAACCCCAGTTACTAACTAATTTTGCCTAACTCCATGGCCCATCTAAGTACAAGAGGTGATTTCTACTGATTTACGATGTCTTTGCGAAGAAAAATGGGTTTCATGATGTTTCATGCTCAATTTGTTGCACGATGCTCTAAAAAATAAACAGGCGTTCCATGTGTTTTCCCCAAAAAATGTGTTTCCCTGAAAAAATGTGTTTTTCCCTGAACAAGTGTGTTTTTTCCACAAAAAAATGTATTTGTTCCAATGTTTTTCCCCACATCCCCCGTCATCTTCACTGAAAAAGGTCCAGGCCTCTACGCGGCCGCATCTCATGGAGGCCCAGCACCCGGTAAAAAATCCGAAAATTTCAGATGTTTTTGGGGGGATGGGGCCCCCTTCGATAGCGTTCAGTTGCCTTACTTAGATGGGCCATGGAGTTAGTGACAACTAGTTAGTAAATGGATCATTTCATCGGGATCTTTTGGGGGGTTAGAACCCCAGTTACCAACCAGCTAATCCTATGGCCCATCTAAGTATAAGTGGTTGAATTCTATGGTTTATGCTAGATATAACTAGAGTTAATGGATGTTAATGGTGTTTATAAACCAACTTATAACTGGGAGGCCCCATCCTGTAGGGATTCTTATAGGTATAACTTTTCAGAACAGTTTCAGCTCCTATGGGAATTCCAAAAATGGGGAAATTTCAGAAAACCATTCCTATTGTATATATATATATATAAATATAATATCTATCCCATTACAAAAATTATATTCCTGGATAAAAACGGTGAGGGATCGGATGATTTGGCTCTCAATGGGGAATCCATCATCGGGCGTGGTCCGGAATCCCAACTCCAGTTGGCTATTTGCAAAGCGAGTGTGGCCATGTCACCAAAATTGGGAAGATCACATGGTTTTTCACCAATGAAACAGGGATCATACCCTGTGGTAAACATACAAAAAGTTATTGAAAATTGCCATAGAAATAGTGGATTTACCCATTAATAGCATGGTGGATCTTTCCATAGTTTTTTAATATGTTTACCAGAGGGTAATTCTCGAAAACATGAGAAAACTCTATGAAACATCACCGACATATCTAGGTCAATCTTACTTGGATACTTTAATCCTTTAGTCTTTTGGTATTAATGGGAATATCTACGTTCACCAGCAAAAAAAATATTTGTTTGCAGGGTAACTAAGGTTAGCAATGGAAATAAACCAACCATGAAAGGAAAATCCCATTGGAAACCTCCAGGGTATCTGGCTGATTGGCAATGATATCAATTTAACACTCGCTGATTTTTCACAAACATGGAGATCTCCACCCATCGGGATCAGCGACCTGACTTGTCCTTCGATGCTTTCCGGTGATGATTTTTCACCGACAAAAAAACAATCCATGGAAAACAAAAAAACCGGCCTGGTGAATATAACTTTTAGATCCACCATGGGTAATTTAATCCATGTGTGAATCTGTAGATATCCCTAGTTGCTGAATAATTTAGATGATTTGGTAATATTGAGTACCCTCTGGTAAACTGTTACATAACTATGGAAAGATCCACCATGCTATTAATGGGTAAATCAACGAGCTCTATATATGGGTCATGTTCAATAGCAATCTGTTAGTCATTACCAGAGGGTATCATACATCAAATTTGGGGGATTCGATTTTGAGACCCCAAATATACCTGGAAGTTCGCCAAGTTTGAGAAAAGATTGGGATTCGCTAACGAACATGGGAGGGAAGCCTGATCGAACATGGATGTGAAAGCCGAAAATAGAGGTTTTTCTATATCAATGTTGGGAAAATGTTTGATTTATAAATGGAAAATATCGAAAACTTGTGGAAAATGCATGGTTTTTGTTATTATTATCTCAATCCTCCATAGGAAAATAGAGGCTTTTACAGAATTTAAACATCTATCAATGGAGGATGTTCCAAGCCATGTTGGACCACGAGTTTCACCAGTGCGAGATCTCTGTGTTTGAAATCGGCCAAGGCTCGATCCATAATCTGGTGATGGGAAGTTATGATGGATTATATCTGGTGGTTATCAATATTGTTAGTGGTTATTTTCATGGTGAATCCGAATGGTTATTAATTATCAATTGTTTTTGTGGCTATTTTCATGGTGAACCTGAATGGTTATTAATTATCAATTGTTTTTGTGGTTATTTTCATGGTGAATCTGAATGGTTATTAATTATCAATGGTTTTTGTGATTATTTTCATGGTGAACCTGAATGGTTATTAATTTTCAATGGTTTTTGTGGTTATTTTCATGGTGAATCTGAATGGTTATTAATTATCAATGGTTTTTTTTAGTTATTTTCATGGTGAACCTGAATGGTTATTAATTTTCAATGGTTTTTGTGGCTATTTTCATGGTGAATCTGAATGGTTATTAGTTATCGATGGTTAGTGTTTTTTCATGGTGAACCTGAATGGTTATTAATTTTCATTGTTTTTTGTGGCTATTTTCATGGTGAATCTGAATGGTTATTAATTATCAATGGTTAGTGGTTATTTTCATGGTGAACCTGAATGGTTATTAATTTTCAATGGTTTTTGTGGCTATTTTCATGGTGAATCTGAATGGTTATTAATTATCAATGGTTCGTGGTTATTTTCATGGTGAACCTGAATGGTTATTAATTTTCAATGGTTTTTGTGGCTATTTTCATGGTGAATCTGAATGGTTATTAATTTTCAATGGTTCGTGGTTATTTTCATGGTGAACCTGAATGGTTATTAATTTTCAATGGTTTTTGTGGCTATTTCCATGGTGAATCTGAATGGTTATTAATTATCAATGGTTAGTGTTTTTTTCATGGTGAACCTGAATGGTTATTAATTTTCATTGTTTTTTGTGGTTATTTTCATGGTGAATCTGAATGGTTATTAATTATCAATGGTTAGTGGTTATTTTCATGGTGAACCTGAATGGTTATTAATTTTCAATGGTTTTTGTGGCTATTTTCATGGTGAATCTGAATGGTTATTAATTATCAGTGGTTCGTGGTTATTTTCATGGTGAACCTGAATGGTTATTAATTTTCAATGGTTTTTGTGGCTATTTTCATGGTGAATCTGAATGGTTATTAATTATCAATGGTTCGTGGTTATTTTCATGGTGAACCTGAATGGTTATTAATTTTCAATGGTTTTTGTGGCTATTTCCATGGTGAATCTGAATGGTTATTAACTATCAATGGTTAGTGGTTATTTTCATGGTGAACCTGAATGGTTATTTTCTTGCAATGGTTTTTGTGGCTATGTTCATGGTGAATCTGAATGGTTATTAATTATCAATGGTTAGTGGTTATTTTCATGGTGAATGGACTTATTTTAATGGTTAGTAATATAGTTCATAATCGATTGGTTATCGATGGTAATGGTTAATCTGGGTAAATTGGATCACCTCCGAAGCCTGTTCTCCCGAATTCTCCCGAACCCTGAGAATCATGGTTAGTAAGTAAGGGAAATCATCCCCTTTTATGGCCACCAAAGTTTCAGGTTAGTGAATTATTATAATTATCATTTACCCAGCATAGTTGGTCAGTTTGTTTGTTTTCTTATGAACAATCCCTCAACAGTTAAAAACGTACTAGAAAATGATCAATATTTATCAATTTTTGTTGGGCGGAAACCCCTGAAATTTCTAGAAACTCCTTTACCTTTCCTCTACATGTGTCATACACTTTCCATGGATGAACCCTACGGTTCTTTCCATGTTTCCAAACCCATCTTCCGTGAATGTCGGCTTGCCCGAAAGCCAGGTGTGAATGGCAAGCCGACATGGTTATGCCATGTGGGCCGCGATCGTTTACCAATCTACTAAAACCTTTACGCGCGCAAAGTCGCCACTGCCATGTTTGTTTTTTGGAAAAGGATGGCCGAAAAGCTGAAAAGCTGCTGGGTCCTTGTATTTACATGTTTTGTGGGGGACCTAAAAATATGATGATATATGATTATTATGATGATGATTATGATCATGATATATGATGATGGTGATTTAACTATTGTGGTAAGGGGAAGTTCTTCAACTATGATGATGTGTTTTGTATCCTTTTTGGTTGGTGGTAAATTATGGTGCTTAAAAAACTGATCAAAATCAAAATGGTGATATTGATTTGGGAAATGTCAGGGAAAAAAGGGTCCGATGCTGAAGGTTTGATTTTTCGGGATGTTCAGCTGGATTCCTGGTGGGATGTTTTGGTGTGATGAAGATGGGTTAATATGGTATACTGTGGTGCTGGTTCTATGTTAACCTCACCGGGAGTATACAACATGAATCAACCAATTTCAATTTAGGGGTTTAAATTCAAACTAACATATGTTCAGGCAAACCTATCAATGGATGGGTAGTTTGAATATGTTTGAATGTGTTAGCCTTAGAAACATGGCCAAAAATGGTTCGTGGCTCCCAAAGACCAGTTGGGCATGGGCCATTTTATTCTCGACTCAAGTTGGCGAAGCCATGGACCTTTTACAGTGGATTTACCCGGCCTGGTAAACAGACAAAAAACTATGAAAAAACTATGGAAAATCACCATTGTTCATGGGAAAACTCACTATAAAGGGTAATTTTCAATGGCTAGCTTGACATAACCAGAGGGTACCTAGTATAAATGATGGTTTTCAATGGCAGTTTCTGCTACCATAAGTCATGATCGCCACCCTCAGCCGTTATCCTAAAATGTCATCACGAAACATGGGGGGGTTCCATAGTCATGTGGCTACCCCTTTATCGCTGGTTGGTTGTTTGTCTATTTTGTCTGGAAAATCATAGGAAAATGTGGATGATTTTTTCGGGGACCCATGGTAGTACCCTTATTTTAGGCAACTTCCATATCTATGCGGCTATGCGTTGTGATTGTATAGAGGTTTACTTTTGAAATGGCAGATCAACTGAAATAAGGTCCATTACTTGAAGAGCAAGTCGTGTCACCAAAGGATATGAGATGCAAAGATATTGAACCTTTTCTGAAAGGCACTGACTGGAAGCAAGATCGTCATCGAGCATTTGGATGGAAAGAGGCCGAAACGGGACCGCTGTTGAGGCTCTCCCTGAAGAGGCCAAGAGGCTTATTTAGTGGCCCATGGTGTTAGTCGGATCTTACCGTTATTAATCAGTTATAGATATTTATAGTAGAACCATTTTTTCCAACCATTTATAGTAGATCAATGTGTATATATATATATATATATTCTGGTTGGTGGTTTCAATCATGACTCTTTTATGTTCCATTTCATAAAAAAGGGATGTCATCCGAAACCCATGGACTTTCACTCCATCATTTTTCAAGATGGGCACATTGCACCACCAAGCAGATATACTATTCATTAGATCAGGTATTAATCACTAATAACCACTATTAACCACTATTAATCCATAATTTTTCGTAAATTCCAATGATGTTTTTGTTTGTTGGGGATCTGACCATTATTCTACCTACATGTTTTGGGGGTTAATCCGGGTTCCCTGGATTTCTAGGTTTCCTGGTCCCTTTACCAGGGGAGAACATAATGAACTACACACAACTAGGCTCAACGGAAATTTCAGAACCCGCCCTATGAATTGCGGGGATATTCCTGGCCATACATAGCCTTTACATAGGCCTTATATTCTTATTTCAATGGCCATCTCAGGAACCTAAATTGGAGGTACCTACCATATATAAGGCCTATACAAGGCCTATGTAAAGGAATATCCCCACAAAATATGGCCTTATATGGTACAGTACCTCCAATTTAGGATCCTGGAATTCCCATTTATTATTATATATGGTAGGTACCTCTAATAAATCGATTCCTGTTGCATGGCCATTGAACGTAAAAAATTGGAGGCACATCAGCTTCCAGCAGAGTCAATGGGGATTCAGCATGAGTTGGTAGAAATACGGATTTCACCAGCCACAATGGGGATTAAAGATGATGAAAAACCGCTGGAAAAACAAACGCATACTTAGATGGGCCATGGAGTTAGGGAAAACCTGTTAGTAAATGGATTATTTCATTGGGATTTTGTTCTCATTTATTCTAGACCCATATGCTCCATGGTGCTGGAATATTTACCAGCATTTACCCCAACAAAAACATCCAGTTTTGTAGGTAAATATACCAGCACCATGGTTCGCGTATGGGTAATTAGCTATGTTCATATCCTCCATAAACCATAGTAACCAAGGTATAAGTCAACTTAACTTTCCATGTGGCCTCACCTTGTACCTTTGGTATTGAAGCCTGTCCATTCCATTTTTTCCCATGTTGGTTTACAAATCTTGGTTTCTACATCACACTATGTCTCACTATATTTCCAGCATGTTTGATCTCGAATTGTATCTCCATATTATACATCCGTAAATTAAGGTAAATAGGGAATCCCCACAAAAGTAGATCATGTTCCTATTGAAACAACCATGGTCTTCCAATATGTATATATATATATACATATGTACTAACTTCAGAGTATATCAGGCCAACACATATTGTTGGTTCTGTATCCCATGACATCTCATTGCATCCCCGTTTCAAATGGTTAACAATTGTCATACTCCATACGAAGAAGTGTCCATCAACAAGATGGAACTGGTTCTTACTGTATTGATTCACCATGGAACCTCCAGAATTCCAGTTCGGGCACTAGAACTCAATAACTTCTTGGTGCTTGAAGCAAACCCTTCAACCCCGTTGCAACAAAAACAAGTAGTTGATAGTGGGCTTCGAAATTTCGAGATTCCACAAAGCAGTTACCCTCTGGTAAACTAACATAACTATAGAAAATTACCATTTTTCATTGGTAAATCAACGAACTCAATGACCATATTCAATGGGAATTTCAGGATCCTAAAATGGAGGTACTGTACCATATAAGACCATATTTTGGGGTCATATCCCCTTACATAGCCCTTACATAGACCTTATATATGGTAGGTACCTCCAATTTAGGTTCCTGAGATGGCCAGTGATCTATGTTTACTTAGTAAATACTGTTACCTATTTGTCCCAGGACATATACCCAACATTACAGCATATATATATATATATGTATATATATTGTTGGTGGTTTGGAACATTTTTATTTTTCCAGAATATATGGGATAATCCTTCCCATTGACGAACTCCATCATATTTCAAGATGGTTATTGCACCACCAACCAGATATAGATGCCAATTTTACCCTCTGGTTTCACTAATCTTCCAAGCCCGATGACTGGCAGGGTCTATGTTAATTTGGACAAGTTCTCAAACACTGCAAAGAGCTCTTAATCAGACTATATCCCTACAATGTGAGGCCCCCAAGATATCTAAGTTGGTTTATAAGTCCAATAACTATGATTTTTGGTACTTATAACTATAGTTACTGGGGCTTATAAACCAACTTATAACTGAGGGGGTCCTCACATTATATATATATAGATAGAAATTGCCCATGTTATCTGCAAAATATCTCCGTTCTATACTCAGTCGGGTTTTCGTGCGGGATGTCCTCCACATCTCCAGGCTGGTCGTGGAATGCCCTGGAGAGATGTGGGATCTACGACCTGTGGAAGAGGTGGAGATACCCGGCCTGGTAAACATACAAAAAAACTATGGAAAATAATCGTTTCTAATATGTAAATCAACTATTTCTATGGTTTACCTATTAAAAATGGTGATTTTAATAACTTACCCTCTGGTAAACATACAAAAAACTATGGGAAAACCACCATTTTTCATGGGAATACTCATGATATCAGCGAAGAAGAAGAAGACAAGCAAGAACGAGTCTTCAGCATAATAGGCAAATCAAGACTTGACTTCGCTGAAGATGATGCTACCTTCCCTGACAACAGCGTGTACAAGAATATCCCCCTGCCATTTGTGCAGCTAGCTTCTGGAAAGCCAGTTCCGCAACTTCGAAGTGGAGATTCAATCTTGGAAGCCCCGAAAATGCAGTGGCTAGATGAAGTCAGGTTGACTGCAACGCCAAACAACCTTTTAGATGACTCAGTGGCTGAAGCCCGCGCTGTCAGGGCATTCTCTCTGAAAGTTGGACTCTTCGTGGAAACCTTGATGTGGCGCGAAGAAAAATACAGACCCACAGCAAAGGATTTATCTGATCTTGTCAGCCTGGTCTCGCTTATTAACAATCATTAAACATTATTTACCATCATTAGCCATTTATATCAAGTTGGTTATTCCATCGATGTCTCATGAAATCACTATTAATAATGACCCATTATTAACCATTCTTGATAATTATTAATATTAATTAACCATCCTTAACTATCATCTTAACCATCATCTTAACCATCATTAAAAACCATATTATTAACTCTGATTTATCATCAACCATCATTATTAACCATCATCATGAACCATTATTCACTATTACCTATTAACCAATATGGTTCTATGAACTATTAACCCTTATTAATTATTAACAATCAACAACCATCATTATTAGTATACATGTATTATATTAATGGCTAATAATGGAATATAAATAGATGTATATAATGATACCATTATTAACCATGATTAGCCATTTATATCAAGTTGGTTATTCCATTGATTAACTATCATCAACTATTGATTATCAAACATTATTAACCATCATAATCGGGCTAATAATGGTTCTATGGTTATTAACCATCATTATCCATTATTCATAATTATCAATACTAATTAACCATCATTAATGTTAACTATCATATGTTAACATGAATACTAATTAACATCCTATTAACCATCATGACTATATTACCATTATAATTATAATTAAGACTATATTATATTAACCATCATTAACTATCATGTTAACCATCATTATTAACCATATGTTCCATTATTAACTAATATTGACCATTATTAACCGTATTATTAATTATTAACCATCAATAACCATCATTATTAGTATACATCTTGCTAACCATCATGACTATATTACCATTATAATTAACTAATATTTATTAACCATTATTAATCATCTTATTAATGTGACATAATAATAATTATTAACTAATAATTCCATTATTAACCATATTATTAACCATTAACTGTTAACCATTATTAACTATTCCATTATTTAGGCCCGTTTGTGACTCAGGCCGAGTGGCTGCGCTTTGACGACTTCGACGCCTTCGCGGGGCAGGATGCGGCGCTGCTGAAGACGGGGGATCTCGACGCGTGCAAGGCGTTTTCCCGGGGGATCCCTCGGGGAACCACCGGGGGAACCGGGGAACCGCCGGGGAACCACCGGGGGAACCGGAGAAAAAAAGGCGAAAAATTGGCGATTTCATAGAAAAATGGTGAGAAATGGTGATTTTCCATGGGATTTTGAAGGGTATATCATAGATTATCATGGGATATCGCCTACTTGGAGGTTTCTGAAAACGAAGAACCTTCGACCTTCGGAGCCCTTTTTGACCTTACCGGACCAGGACGTTTGCCGTCGCAACGGATGGTCCGGTTTTACCTACTTTGAGAACAGAGCCTATTTCCGCGCGCAGGAGACCCTCTTGGTGTCGCAATGGTGGTTGATGGTGAATTCTTGTGGGTATACCCGGCCTGGTAAACGTTTACATAACTATGGAAAATCACCATTTTTACTCGGTAAATCAACTATAAATGGTCCATTTTCAATAGCTATGTCAAATTACCAGAGGGTAATTTATTGATATCACATTATATATGAAACTTGAGCGATCTATATATATATATATTGCCATTGATAGTGGGATATATCACTACTAACTCATGGAATACGGATGATTCTATGTAACATAGGGATTAGGGATTTTTTCAGAAATCTCTGAGAAGTCAACCATGAATCATACGGGGTATATATATATATATAACTACTGGTTCATAATCTACATATAACTAATCAGAAACTATGAGATATTATCATTAGATATTATATATAACCATTATAACTAGGAGAAAGGATTAATCATTAGATATATATAACTACTGATAATATGTATAATTATCATCCCATCCCATCCCCCGTTCAGCTACCTCGTTCTATGGTCCCCGTCATCTGCCGGTATCGAATCCGGTCATCGCAAGTTCTTAATGGTGAGCCATTGAGCCATTCAAAATACCATAGTTGACTGGTTGATATAGGGATTTATACTACCTACCCTCTGGTTATTTAACACTATAAATGGGCCATTTTCCATGGCTATGTTGAATATCCAGAGGGTAATTATTTTGGGATTATGATAATCCATAATAGGGATACCAATTTATACCTATTTGCCGCCAGTATAATGTGATGGGATAGTGGTATTTTCATGGTTCAAGACTTGGTTACCTGTTGGGTTTATTCGGGATATAACTATATAGTATCTGCATAGTCAATGGGTTCATAAAACTAGAAACATAACTTTACAAGGCCTTTCTTGTAGGTTGTTGGTCATGTTTTTTTTTTCGGGTTTGGACCCTGATCTTCAGACAAGCCCTTGTTTAATTTTGACATAGTTTTATTTGTACACACTGGCAATTTAAAATGGCTATGGACCATAAGAAAATCATCACTTTCATTGATAAATCATCTATACATGACTGGTTGGTGCTTTGGAACATGTTTTTTCCCATTCAGTTGGGAATGTCATCATCCCAACTGACGAACTCCATCATTTTTCAAAGGGGTAGTTCAACCACCAACCAGATGACAATTTTCCATAGCTGTGTCAAGATTCCCAGAGGGTAGCCCTTTTGGTGTTCCTTCACATGGTGTATGATTCACTATGTGAACCCAACGGGTTAGCTGCAAATCTGCGCATGGATACAATTTCTTGAAAGACGTCCTTAGGTTTGACTTGTCGTAACAATGACACGTCCATGAAATCCCCCATGTTTGTTGAATTCCATGTTTCTCGGTTGCAACATTTTCTTGCAGATCATTTGCAATGTTTGTTGGCTCCAAATTTTCGCTTCCAAAGGTTGAAACACCGCCATTTCTGCCAATCTGAAATCAGGATCGGTCAGCACTACTGGAGACAAAGAAGCGGCCAGAAAATCTCAGGGGATGGGCCGTTGTTTTATGTTGCGCCTATTTTCATAGTCTGGTTGGTGGTTTGGAACATGAATGGATTATGACTTTCAATCAGCTGGGAATAGGAAAACCCCAACTGACGAACTCATATTTTTCAGAGGGGTAGGTATACCACCAACCAGTAGTGATTAATTGTGATTAATATTGATTATAATCCATGAATAGTGATTTATAACCAATTTTTGGGTGGTGAATAGATTAATGTGGGTAAAACCATGATACTCTCCATTTTTACATCCATCAACCATAGAATTCACCAGTTATGTGCGAGTTTTCATGCTGAGACGAGTGGAATCAAATGACTCATTGTGATCTGAAAAACAAATCATATGCTTGCTGCAAGCCATTACAGGTAATCTATTACAATGTGAGGCCTCCCAGTGATGTTAGTTGGTTAACAAAAGCCCCAGTAACTATAGTTATAAGTACCATAAACCATAGTTATTGGAGTTATTTGCACCAACTTAGCTATCTTGGGGGCCTCACATTGTAGCAACCTAGATGGATTGTAATCTAGTTTTAGAATGTGAATTGCAGTAAATCGATGTGAATTTCGGACCCGGGACCGATCTGCCCAATTTCCCCTTTTTTTTACTCGCCAAGCGCATTTTGGGTTGAGAGCAACTCTGTATTCTGATTGCATCGTTAGTGCTCTCTAGTCTTTGGCAAGTTAATTCCTCCGGGTTATCCATGTCTGGTGGCATTGGCAGGTCGAATCGAATCCCTGTCTGATACCCCTGTTGAAAGAGTTGAAAAATCCCATGGCGTTTGATGACAGTCAGTCCCAATTTACTCGCATCAATGGATTTCAGATCTTAGATGTTAGTTTAGTAGGTCAATCTTACATGGATACAAACTAATCCTCACTAGTCGTTTGGTATTAATGGGAATATCTACGTTCACCAGCAAAGAATTTGGTCCACTTTTTGCAGGGGCCCTCTGGCTGATTGGCAATGCTTACATCCTAATCTATGCTGCCATCTCCCAACTTACGTGCAATGAGATGATATTACCATAGTATACAAGGTGGTGCCCCATAGTTAGCTAAGTTGGTGAACATAACTCCAAAAACTATGGTTTATTGTACTTATATATCTATAGTTAATGGGGTTTATAAACCAACTTATAACTGGGGGGCACCACCTTGTATCATTCTCAATAGGTAAATCACCCAACGTGCGATGGGAAAATTTCAATTGCCGTGTCAGATGACCGGAAGGTCTTAGCCAATATTCTATTAATCTCTCACACATATCCCATAGAATATCCCCATTATATCGCCAGTTTCTCATAGTAAAATCCTCAGTTCGAATGCAAAAGAATTCCATTATATTCCAATTATATTCCCATTATCATATATCATATATCATATATCATATATCATATATCATATATTCCAATGGTATTCCCATTATCATATATCAAATATTCCCATTATAATATCCCCATGGTATTACATATATCATATATTCCAATTATATTCCCATGATGTTTCCCTTATATTGCCATATTGGAATATATGATATATTTATAGCATGCTAGTAATTCACATATATATATATATATATATATATCCTATTCTTTTCCCATGTCCCATGGGTGTTTTGCCCCCGCCACACTTCTAACGCATTTTCATTAGGTCTCCTGGCAGCATTCTCTTCGTGGCTCCGGGGAACACTCAGAAACTGCAGGCGGGGGATCTATCCAGTGAGGGTTTCCGATTCGTCATGGGGGTACCCCAAAAAAATCGCTGGATGGTTCAAAGTGAGGCCCCCTAGATAGCTAAGTTGGTTTATAACTCTAATAACTATGGTTTATGGTACTTATAACTCTAGTTATTGGGGCTTATAAACCAACTTAGATATCTAGGGGGCCCCACATTGTAGATTACATGGAAAATCCCACTGGTTGGTGGCTTGGAACCATGGAATTTTATGGCTTTCCATTCAGTGGGGAATTTCATCATCCCAACTGACGAGTTTTCATATTTTTCAGAGGGGTAGGTCAACCACCAACCAGCCATGTATTTCACATCTGAAGCAACAAGGGATGTGGGCCAATGCTCAGACCCACGTGTTAGAATTCCCTCGAGGCGCATTCATTTTCGCCACTGCCATTTTGCACGCCGTTTTGAAAAGTGATGAAAAGTCACTTCCTGAAGTTGCAGGTTTTAGATATAGTTAATTTGTACACATACTTTTGGAAAATATAATAATATAATAGTCAAAATCGAAGAACTTGCAGGTTTTCCTGTTTTCCTCTTGCCAACCAAGAAATTCTGGTGTTCCACCAGCCCCCAACACAAAAATCGATGAGAAAAACTCAATGAGACTGCCAATAGATCTGGTGAGTGGTGGGGACCCCTGGTGAGCGAGTCTCCGTTTCTCATTGCTTAAAGGGAAAATCTATAGAAAAAGCTTGGTTTTCACCACCAACAATAGGGGTTTCCTGTAGATTTTGCTTCTAAAGGCTCCAAACCCCTCTGGCTGGTGGTTTGGAACATTTTTTTTCATCATATTGGGAAGTTCATAATCCCAACTGACTTTCATATTTTTTTCAGAGGGGTAGGTATACCACCAACAAGCCCTATTTCTCGAATGCTAGATTTCCCTAAATCCAATGGGGCCTAAACCCTACTTAGATGGGCCATGGAATTAGTTAACTAGTTAGTAAATGGATTATTTCATTGGGATAGATATAGGGGGTAAACAAACCCCAGTTACTAACCAGGAATCGCCAATCCTATGGCCCCCAAAATCCAGTGATTTTCCCCCAAAGTCACCCACCTCCGGTTGCTCGCCTTCGCCAGCGCTGTATCCTCAACGCTGGTATGCCAGAGCTGAGCCGACCCACACGCAGAGGTGCGGGGGATTTTCTGATTCTTGGGATTTTAGCAATAAAAATACCCTCTGGTGAACTAACATAGCAATGGAAAATGGCCGTTTATAGTGGATTTTCCCATTAAGAATGGTGATTTTCCATTGCTATGTTAGTTCACCAGAGGGTAGCTGGTTGGTGGTTTGGAACATTTTTTATTTTCCCCAATAGCTGGGATGATGATCCAATCCGACTAATATGTTTCAGAGGGATTGAAACCACCAACTAGATAGGGTTTAATGACGATCTCACCATCAAAACATGGTTTAACGTGGTTTAAAGCAAGGGAATTTAGGCTACGACAGGGATTTTTGTTGGGATTTTACCTCTGGTAATGACTGTAGATATGGAAAATCACACGTTTGAAGTTCGGTCAATCATCATAAAATCGTCTACAAATGGGCAATGTTTCGCTGGAAAAATAGCGCTTGATGGTTATAACCAATAAAGACAGGGTTGAACCACCCAAACTGGTGATTTCATGGTGATATTTCATGGTGATTTTTGGGATCAATTTGATCATGACTTGCGGCCTGGAAGGATGGAAATGGGATATGGGGTAAGTATATGTATCTATGCTGAAATAGCAAAAGATTTGAGAGTATCTTCACATTACAACTGGGATATGAATTTCAAAAACAATTCTAATGGGATTTGAATTACCCTCTGGTAAACATACAAATTGCCATCTATAGTTGATTTACCTATTAAAAATGGTGGATCTTTCCATAGTTATGTAACAGTTTACCAGGCCGGGTACTATACTTCACCCAGAATCTGTTTGGATTCAGCATATCTCAAGCCTTAGGGAGCCGTGATAAGGGACCCCGCTTTGGCGTTTCTCGGCTTTCAAAACTGTGGATTTTTATAATTTGAGGATTGAAATTGACAGTTTTGCTCGACGATTTCTATGCTTTGAAATTTATAAACTGAGGATTTTTATAAAATCGACTGCACTCCGGTGATCTATGTTCGATTTATGATGTTTATGTCAGTTGATTCCAATTCTCCAGAGTTTGCATGGTTTAGTGAAGAAGCACACAGCAATTCCGTTCCAAATCGTGTCCATCCAGCTTTCAAGCGGACCTTCTAAGTATGAGGTTTGTTGGTACCCCTAGAATCAAGTTGCCTAAATGTTGATGATATATCCCATGATCTTTAGGGCACTTTCTGGGTATCCCCATCTACAAAACCAACTATGACATAATTAGACAAGTAAAAACCGACTTGGTCGATCATCTTATTGACATGATTCTTCTTAATCGCATTATATATATATATATATGTATTGCTGTTTTTTTCAATAAGATTCATGGTATAATTGTATAATATACCATAATCAACACATAATCATTTATTATAATACTTACGTAGTGAATAGCACGACCATTTCTCTTACTATGGTCATGACTATCACTATGCAATGACCACTATAGGGTTTTGTTACGATAACAATAGCTATTAGTAGTTGATCCTATTATCGTATTATCAATATATATTATCCTATAATCACTAAATATAGTAGTAGGGTTAGTAGGGATAATAATATCACTATGTATCTTTATTGATATCACATGATATCACTATGTAATGACTCGCTCTTACAAAAACTATCAACTATGATTTTTCGCATTCATATGATACTCCATTTTATAAAATATAGTCTGGGACAGTTAATACAATAATATTTAGATAATAGATTACCATCAATAGATTACCATTTTGTCTAGATTGATTACCATGATATATCTACTATTATTACAATATGGTAATTGTATATCAATAATGACAATAATGACAATAATATACAACATATTACCATAGTAGATTACCCGTTAACTAGTATCATTCATAGAATATCATTAATTAACAATACTAACATAGTAACCATTGAAGAACCATTATTAATATCTATTTAATAATATTATATTTCTATTTGTAATGGTTAACTACATATATTTAGATATTATTCACCATTAATTCTTAATATCTATGTCTTTCCCATAGATTCGCAGAATAAGAACCCGCAGATCGCCCACTTAGGTCATCTGTTCGTGACTTTGAGGATTGAGACGAAAGAAACACTGGATGAGGCGATGACGTGGGAATTCCATGGAAGGTAAGAAATTATTCTATGGTTAATAAATAATTCATCCATTAGCAGAATTTATACAAGGTGGTGCCCCCCAGTTATAAGTTGGTTTATAAACCCCATTAACTATAGATATAAGTACAATAAACCATAGTTATTGGAGTTATGTTCACCAACTTAGCTAACTATGGGGCACCACCTTGTATGGGAAGGAATGGATAATTGGTGGATTTCCCATGGATTTCCCATAGGTCATCATTGGGATACCCACGTTGAAGAAATTATTCTGGGAATCTGTGGGGACCCGGCCTGGTTATTCAACATCGCCATGGTATAGATGGCCCATAGAAATAGATGGTTTACCTATTAAACATGGTGATTTTAACCATGGCTATGTTAGTCATAACCAGATGGTAGTCAATATTCCATGCTATTTTTTTTCTGGTAATATATAACAGATATCCTATAGATTAATTATCCTATATTACAGATAATTTGTTAAAACAATATGGAGTACAGATTATTCTGGTAATTTGTGGGTTTGTTTACATAGATATTATCAATAGTTAATCAATGGCTAATATGATATTGTAATAGCCATTGATATTAGCCATTGATTAACTATTGATATTAGCCATTGATATTACCCATTGATTATGATATCAATAATTAATGGTTAATTGATGATATTCTATTAATTATAATAGTTAATGGGCAATATGTGGATTTCCCATGGGATTTTGTGGCGATTTGTCTATGAAAAATGATGGATTTTTCATGGTGATTTGATGCGAGTTGCTTGAATTTTGTGGTGAGGATTTGATGGGTTTTTTAATGGGGATTGATGAGGATTTTTAAATGGGGATTGCCATAAACATAGCATTTTTTAGGGGATAGTTTATACTAGGTTTCGTCATGTGGGGGATGGTTATGACTAGCGTAGCCATGGTTTTTCGATGGCCCTAATCGAAATCGATGATTTTCCCAGCTAGAAACCTCCATTTATAAGGGTTTTTCCATGGCAAACTGTTAGTCATAACCAGATGGTAAATGGTTTTTGATTCATCATGAGAAGATTAATCAAATTGGGTTTTTTCGGCATCCGAAATAGTGATTTTTTCACCTTGAAAAACTGACGAAGCAAGACACACTGCAATTTGACCCTCAAACATCTAGATTGAACCTGTCAAGAATGGGAACCATGTAATCTTCTGTTCTTTTTTTTGGCTTCCAAAGTCCTGCATCTCCTAAGTTTAAACAGAACAGTTTTTTTGGTGACAATGAACAGAATCTAGGGATGTCATTGGTCTGGGTAAATTTCATCACGACCGAACCCTGTTCTCCCTCACTATAATTTCTTTGTATATCATAGTTAGGTTTCGGGGAATCGTCCCCTTTGATGGCCCAAGAATTCAGGGTAGTGAAATGTTCTAACTCCAATGTCACGAACTGGTTTGAATGGTACGCAAATCACGAACTAGTTACTGGTAATTTAACATAGCTATTGAAAATGGCCATTTATAGTGAGTTTTCCCATTAAAAATGGTCATTTTCAATAGCTATGTTAAATTACCAGAGGGTAGTTACTGGGGCTAACTTGTGACATCCAACGTTTACATCACGTTTCGGGGGGCCTCACAGAATCTAGGGATGTCACAGTGATTTACACATCAAAGGTGACCCCCCAAGCCACTGAACTCCGTGGACTCAGTGGATAGATTTCACCCAAAAAAAACGTGCGGCGTATGCCAAGAAAAATGGTGCTTGTCTCCAAGTCCTAAGGCCATAAGGCTAAAATTTCAGGGCGAAATTTCAGGTATCCGCAGAAATAATAGCCTTATACTACAGTACCTCCATTTTAGGTTCCTAAAATTCCCAGAAAACCAGTAGGTGTCCTGTCGATTTTTCCCTGAAACCAATTCCTATGATAGTAACTAATCCATATTAGCCCATGATTTTGCCGTCCAGTTTCCCACTACGAAAAACGCGCCTTTCTCGAGTGACCCCACTTCCGAGCGCTCGGAGAGGCCACAAAGAAAGTCCTGAGACAGGCTGGATGGGGCGAAGCATCCGTGGCGAAGCAGAGTCGAACCGCCTGTTGGATGAAGCATCACAGTTTACATGGTTTTAATATGTTTTGATCATGAAAAAATCATGAGTCACTTTTATGGTTTTAATATGTTTTGATCATGAAACATATGAGATCATATGAGTATATAACGGATACCCTCTGGTAAATTAACAGTTCGACCCTGAAATTAACCCATTCTTAGTGGTTTCACTAATCTTCCAACCCCGAAGTCATGCCAGGGTCGTCATGTGAATTTTCTGGAGGTCAAATGATGCTTGAGCTGTGGTTGATCATTCTCTGGGATGCGGTTTAACAAATGATGCGTTGATGAGTGGGGGATAAAAAAGACCAATATCATTGGGAATACCCTCTGGCAAATGATCATGGTCTTTTGTATGTTTACCAATATAGCGAACTGGAAAGATCCACCATTTTTTTTAATGGGTAAATCAACGAACTTTCAACTGGGCCATGGCTTCCAGTTCGCTATGTTAGTGATTACCTGAGGATCATTGGGAATATCACCATCCATGAACTGACGAACTCATATTTTTCAGAGGGGTTGAAACCACCAACCAGTATTTGTTTGTCTAGTATTAAAGATGGTGATTTTCCATAGCTATGTTAGTCATTACCTGAGGATCATTGGGAATATCACAATCCACGGGGGAAATCCCATTCTCATCCAGTATAAAGGGTAGCCCCGCCTTTCGAAAGGGGCCCTTCTTCACTGCTGTGGATCGACCCCAAGGGGTCAGAGATCAGTTTTTTTCTCCATTTTGCCAATGGACATTTCACCAGAGTTGGTGGTTGATAATCCGCAGATCTGGAAAAAATCAGTAACTAAAATACCCTGGTTATTAGCCACTTAGCCCGGATTTAATGCGACAATCAATGGGATTTGATGAGACAATCAATACGTAGGAATTTACAACTGGTGGTTTGGAACATGTTTGATTTTCCCCAATAGTTGGGAATGTCATAATCCCAACTGACTTTCACTCCATCATTGTTCAGAGGGGTTGAAAGGTCAACCACCAAGCAGTAGATGTGGAGAACCCACCATTTGACGATGAATTTCCTGTAGGACAACCAGGGGTTTTCCAATCTGCACCCATTTGGCTCGGCAGCGTTCGCGTTTCACAGCAAGCCCCAAGGATACTGAAAGATGTGCCAAGTCCGAAAAAGATGGACCAGTTGATCTCGATGGATCTGGTAACCTCTGGTTTCATTTCATGATGTCTCAAAGATCATATGAATCATATCATCTAAAATATCCATGAAACATATGAAACCAAGCAAGAAGTAGAAACCAACTTAAGTTTCAGAATTGACCAACTGAATTCGTTGACAGCAGCCTCATGGAAGATGATATCGTGCATGATGAGGACGTTGACACGCCGGCGTCGACGACTCGTCATGGTCTGTCATGACTTTGACGTTGGAATCCTCAAGATCCACATTTTGAGACAACCCCCATATGGCTTTCTTAAAATCCTTTTTTTAATGGGAAAGGTAGGTAAGTACCTCCTTTAAATCGGATCCTGAAGATCTCCCATTGCTAAAATGGTTGATCCCCAAGTCACCATGGTTGTTTCAACACTAAGGTTTATACGGAGGTTTTTCATAGGGGCACGGGAGTAGGAACTCTTCTGATTTAATCCCATTATACCCTACTGTCCAGTCATATTCAACCACAATCCCATTATATGATGTGTTCTAATGACTGGGATATGTAATATGTATCCTATACAGTCACTATCCCATCAAGTATTAAATGATGATGAGTATTTGGGAGATGTGTTCTGATGATGTTTGAATATCCCAACCATCCAGTCATGTATCACCTAATACCCCATTCAATGACTGGATGTGAAAATTTGACCGCACGTTTGTCATTGAAGATCCCAGATGGCCATTTCAAAAACATTGCGCCATGGGATTCTAAATTGAATCCAATCCATAATCACTCATACATCTGGGTAAATTATAATAATTCACAAACCTGAAATAAGGCTATAAGAGGGGATGATTTCCCTTATTAAGCATGATTCCAGGGTTCGGGAGAACAGGCTTAGGTCGTCATGTCATTTACCCAGATACATGGATACTGGATGATTCTGGATTCTGGATCCCACTGCGCTGTGTAAATAACGGTTCATCTGTGGATAATCTATCGTTCACCATGGTTGAAAATCTTACTGGTGCTTAGTAGGGAATGGATGGGTTGCTGGGGGTTGCTGGGACTATGAAAATGATAGTTAGCAAGTGGGTTATATCCCGAGTTAAAGAGGGAATAAGTAGGGTTAATCCACTTATGACCGAGCTTATAACCCACTTAGTAAGTGGGATGAACCATCAAGTACTAAGCACAACTAAGAAATAGTCAGGTTTCAACCCACTCACCATAAATCTATCCATAGCACCCGCAACTATACCCGCCGGTGATCAAACATGACTGGAAGCCATGGCCCATTTATTTCGATGTTACCATGGAACCCTCCATTTGTTTCGGGACTTTCCCAGCCAGCCATGACTACCGAAGGGTATCCATCCATCCACAAAGTGGGGCCCCCAAACGATAGCGGAGTTGGTTTATAACTCCAATAACTATGGTTTATGGTACTTATACAGAAGGGGTACCCATGGGGGGCGCAGGTGTGCAAATTGTAGAAACGCGCATTTTTTGAGAGGTACTGTGATGAAAGCATCTTCACATAAAAAAAACAATGGAAAAACAAAAAAAAACAAAAAGTTCAGACCCATGTCCCCTGCCAGGCCTCTCCCCAGACCTTGCCCATGGGTCTGAACTTTTTGTTTTTTTTGTTTTTTTTGGTTTTCTCGAGTTTTTGGCCAAACTGCAAAAAACCATGGAAAAACAAAAAAAACAAAAAGTTCAGACCCATGTCCCCTGCCAGGCCTCTCCCCAGACCTTGCCCATGGGTCTGAACTTTTTGTTTTTTTTGTTTTTTTTGGTTTTCTCGAGGTTTTGGCCAAACTGCAAAAAACCATGGAAAAACCAAAAAAAACAAAAAAAACAAAAAGTTCAGACCCATGTCCCCTGCCAGGCCTCTCCCCAGACCTTGCCCATGGGTCTGAACTTTTTGTTTTTTTTGGTTTTTTTTGTTTTCTCGAGGTTTTGGCCAAACTGCAAAAAACCATGGAAAAACAAAAAAAAACAAAAAAAACAAAAAGTTCAGACCCATGTCCCCTGCCAGGCCTCTCCCCAGACCTTGCCCATGGGTCTGAACTTTTTGTTTTTTTTGTTTTTTTTGGTTTTCTCGAGGTTTTGGCTAAACTGCAAAAAACCATGGAAAAACAAAAAAAAACAAAAAAAACAAAAAGTTCGGCCCATGTCCCCTGCCAGGCCTCTCCCCAGACCTTGCCCATGGGTCTGAACTTTTTGTTTTTTTTTGGTTTTTCCATGTTTTTTTGTTTTTCATGTGAAGATGCTTTCATCACAGTACCTCTCAAAAAAAAATGCGCGTCTCTACAATTTGCACACTTGCGCTCCCCAGGCCAAACTGCAAAAAAAACATGGAAAACCAAACTTCATTTAATGACTTATATCATGACTAATATAATGATTATATATATATGATGATTTATTTAAAAAATAATATCATGGTTCATAAAATGACTAATATAATGATCAATGTAATATCATTGCTATTAATAAAATGATTATTATAATGATTCATATAATGATAAATATAATGATTTATGTAATGGCTGATATAATTTTGAATTTATTGACTAATATAATGATAAATAACATGATTCATAGAATGATGAATATTTTTTTTAAATGATTCTTTTACTGACTTATATAATGACTAATATAATGATTAATATGCTGATTAATATCATGATTCATATAATGATAAATATAATGATGTATCTAATGAGTCATTTAATGACTTATATAATGACTAATATAATGATTACTATAATGATTAATGTGATGATTAATAAAATGATTAATTTCATGATCAAAATAGTTGTGATTTTGATGATTGATGTAATGATTAAATTAATGGTTTATATACTGATTTATATAGTGATTAATTTAATGAATATATAAATGAAAACAACGCGTAATGTAATGATTAATTTTATGATTAATATAATGTTGAATATATAGTGATTAATGAAATGATTAAAATAATGACTATTATAATGATGAACATAATACTTTATATTATGATTAATTTAATGACTTAAATAATGACTAATATCAGGATAATATTTATATAATACTTAATTGAATGATTAATGAAATGATTAATATGATGATTAATTTAATATAATGATGATTTCAATGATTGATATAATGATTAATTTCATGGTTATTATCATGATTAATTTAATGATTAATGTAACAATAAATAAAATGGCTAATATAATGACTAATATAATGATTATATATGTATTTTTCATGATTAATAACATGATTAATATAATGATTAATTTAATGACAAATACAATGACTAGTATAATGAATATTAAAATGATTAGTACAATGACTAATATAATGACTAATATGATTCATATCATGATGAATAAAATGATGAATACCATGACTAGTAAAAAAATTAATTCAATGACTAGTATAATGAATAGTATAATGATTAATCTGAATGACTAATATAATGGTTAATAAAATGACTAATACAATGATTTTTAATATGACTAAAATAATGATTATACATATGATGATTCATTTAATGGTTAATTTAATGGGTAGTACAATTTTCTGTACTATGACTTAAATAATGATTCATTTCATGATAAATATAATAATTCATTTCATGATTCATTTAATGACTAATAAAATGATTAATATAATGATTTATGTAATGGCTGATATTATTTTTTCATTTATTGACTAATATAACGATTAATATCATGATTAATGAATGATAAATAGAATGATATAATTGGTTCATAGAATGATAACTATAGTGATTAAGTTGAATGATTCTTTAAATGGTTTATAAAGTGACTATTATAATGTTTTTACATACATTTAATGCTTAATATAATGATTAATATCATGAGTCCTATCTAATGATTCATTTCATGACTTATATAATGAATATTACAATGGTTAATATTATGATTAATGTAATGACTGATATAATTCTGAATTTAGTGACAAATATAACAAAATCAGGACTTTCACAACCTCGCCCCCCATGACTACCCGCTCTCTACTTATAACTATAGTTATTGGGGCTTATAAACCAACTTACAACTAGGGGGCCCCACATTGCATAGTTGTTACCAGCAAGCATCCATTAAGTGCATGTTTCTCCTCAGTATGGTGAAAAATTCCATGTTCATTCTAGTTCCATCCACAATTCCATATGTTGAAAAACATGTTTAAACAGGTATTATTTGCCTGGAGCTGAAACCAATGACCTACTTCCGTATGTTTTTCTGTGGATAGATTAAAAAAATAGGTATATCACTGATATCACCATGATTTCCCCCTATCATTAGCTCCATTCTTCCACCATGTTGGTTACTTAAATCTCATTCTGGTTGGTGACTCCCAATGAATGCATATTGAATATGCATGGTTAATGGATGGTTAATGGATGGTTAATGGATGGTTAATGGATGGTTAGTGGATGGTTAATGGATGGTTAATGGATGGTATAGATGTTCTAGAATATCTGGTTGGTGGTTTCAAACACGTTTTTATTTTCCATTTCATATTTGGGATGTCATCCTTCCCATTGACGAACTCCATCATTTTTCAGCGGGGTTTTGGTCAACCACCAACCAGCCATTTTTTGTTGGTGAAATGACTTTTTTGATTCTTAAACCATGTTTGTTGGTGAAACACCACAATTTTTCATGGTGAAATCGCAACATTTCCATCCATTCATCGTGATTTCCATCCCTCGAAACCAGGACCCGCCCGTGACCGCGCCCAAACGACGCTGCTGCAGCAAAGCTCCTGCAGGCAATGGGGTTCTTATGGAGAGATGGAGGATCCGGCAGCTAAAAAAATGGAGCTTTCCATACATCAATGGCCATTTCAGGAACCTAAATCGGAGGTATATCCCCAGAAAATATGGCCTTATATGGTACAGTACCTCCAATTTAGGTTCCTGAAATGGCCATTGAATACAGGATGGGGCCCCCCGACTATGAGTTGGTTTATAAACCCCATTAACATCCATTCACTAGTTCGTTATATCAAGTTATATCTACCATAAACCATTGAATTCAACCACTTTTTTAGGCAACTGAATGCTATCTTGGGGGCCCCATCCTGTATGGGGGTTTCCATAAATGGGAGGTACCCAATAGCTGGATTATTTCAGCAGGTACAGTAACAATCATGGCAATCATGGGATCATAAGGGGCTAATAATGAATTCTATATGAATATGGAGGTTTCCTAAACGGGGGGATTCCCCGAAATCGGCCTTTTTGATGGGGATTTTCCATGAAATGAACCATTCAGCGAGATATTGGGGGTACCGTGGGCCTATGGGTTTAATCCCCACATGATCAAATGACCAGGATGGTCCTGGGATGGTTTAGGGTACTACTTTTTAGGAAACCTCCTGATAGTGGTTTCTAGGTCAATCTTACATGGATACAAACTAATCCTAACTAGTCTTTTGGTATTAATGGGAATATCTACTAATCAGCAAAGAATTTAACTTTTTGCAGGGTATCTAAGATTAGCAATGCTGATAGTGGATTGTTAGTTGATTGAAAGTACCAATGGTTTCAATGGTTTCTGTAGTTTCTTGATTAGGATGTATAACAATCCGTAGTACTGAATGATTTTAAATGTTTAAGATGTTGGAAAAAATGAAAAACCATCAACCATGGCTTTGAAATACTCTGAAACTGACCTTGCGGATGACCAGGGGACCCATATTAAGCCCTGCAACGGTCAATTGACCATAGCACATTTGGATATGTAGGTATCCTACATGGGGAAGCCCACGTCACCATGGTTGTTTTAATGTCATAGTCATCCATGATGACTGGAGGATTGGGGGTATCCCCATGACTTAGAAAATTACGGTGATCCTCGGAAAAAAACCCGGCAAATCCAAGATATACTTGGTGAAGCCCCAGCGATCAGCCTCCATTTATGGTCAATATTCCAAAATCAATGGGAATTTCAGGATCCTAAAATGGAGATGCTGTACCATAAACCATAGTTAATTGATGTTTATTGATGTTAGGTATGGTTGATATGGTTCAATGGGAGTTTCAGGATCCAATTTATGGAGGTATATGGAGGTACGTTAGTACCATATGTTTGGCTATATGAATTGTGGGGATATTCCCTGAAATTTAGGCCTGAAAAATAGGCCTTTTTTCTATGGTAGGTACCTCCAATCAATTTCGGTTCCTGAAATGACCATTGACAAAATGTCCCACTAACCCCACATATTCCGGTAGGATGTTCCTGTTCAACCTCCATATTAGTTCCATGATTTCCTTAGATTTTCCCACTAAAACCTCTTCCCAGGGAATTCTCTAGATGATTTTCCTCAGATTTTCCGACTAAATCCATCCACCACCATGCGCGTCATGGTGCGCGTTTCCGCAAGGGGCGGAGGCGACTCCAGATGAGATCTTTCAGGTGATCAACAGCATCGACTGGTCGCAGAAGAAGCCGCTGGTGACCCGCGAGGTGAAAGCTGGGGTGGGTAAGAGGGAACGGCTGTGATGAATAGATGGGGAATATATACTGTACATATGTACATGGTTATACATACACATACACATACTATGATATACATATATATATATATAGTGCAATTATATTATATATATATATATGTAATTATACTGTATGATATATATATATATGGTTATACATACACATACAGGATGCCCCCCCAGTTATAAGTTGTTTTACAACCCCATTTAAATATAGTTATAAAAGTTATAAATATCATAGACTATTGTTATTATAGTTATTATAGATATATGTAACCCATAATAACAATAGGGGAGTTGTAGTTATATGCATAATAGTTATTATAGTTATATATCATTCCATATATTATAGTTAGGTGGTATGATATATAACTATAATAGTAATATAACTATATATCATATCTAACCGTATATAACTATAATTAGTAATATACCGTGTATTACTCTGATATCATACGTATATATCATACCGTATATACTATGACATGCTATATTTAGATGGGGAATATATACTGTATATATGTATGTATGGCTATACATACACATACACATACACATACACATACTATGTGAGGCCCCCAAGATATCTAAGTTGGTTTATAACTCCAATAACTATGGTTTATGGTACTTATAACGAACTAGTTATTGGGGCTTATAGACCAATTAACATCACTGGGGGGCCTCACATTGTATTTTTCCATTGATCATGGATTGATATACCCGGCCTGGTAAACATAAATGGAGGTACAGTACCTCCATTTTAGGATCCTGAAATTCCCATTGATTTTGGAATATTGACCATAAATGGAGGCTGGTCGCTGGGGTTTCACCAAGTATATCTTGGATTTGCCAAGTATATATATATATCATAGTAATTATTTGTATGTATGTGTATTCTGTTCTATTGTAGTGGAATGCAATGCAACGTTTCATGGCGGCCAAATCCAGTGATTTCCTTCTTTCGTTTTCCCACAATAGGGGCAACGCTTGGGGTGAGCACATTCCTAGGGAATTCCTCTAGGGAAATGAAAAATCCCGGGTTATGTAAGTTATAATCCATGTATATTTGATAATCCATGTTTATTTGACAATCCATTTATACTGTAGTTACTGTAGTTGATAATCCATTTATATTTGATAATCCACGTATAGTTGATGATCCATTTATAGTTGATGCTCCTTGCAAAAAATCATAGAACCAAACCATTGTACTGGATCCCCCTGTCTAAAAACTGGAGAGGAATCACAAGAAATCACGAGAAATCTTTTGGAGAATCTCTCAGATTCAGATCTGGTTGGTGGTTTGGAACATGTTGTTTCCATTCAGTTGGAATTTCATAATCCCAACTGACGAACTCATATTTTTCAGAGGGGTAGGTATACCACCAACCAGAGATTTTCTGAAGGTGATTCTTTACATCCTATTGTTACATCCATTATTTATTTGCGGAATCTATGAACAGAAACTAGTCACTAGTCAGATTCGAATCCACAGTTGCGTTTTCACTGAGCATGCTGATGTGTGAAGGACATTGGAGGATTGTCCCGCTTAGTAGAAACTACAGGTAAGTACATATGTTTTGATCAGCTTCCAATATCTACAAATGGAATATAGTAACCCCAAAAAAGGACAGAAAGGTTGGTGTTACCACCATTTCAGAATTGTGCCGTTCCGTTTTTTTGGGGACGGGAGGGTTGCTACAATCCCAAAGTCGGGGGCTTTCAGTTTATGATGGAAACATGGAAGAAGAAAAATACATTGCTCTCGAATTTAGAATCCATTTACCCCCCTGGTTATTTAACATGGCCATGGGAAATGGCCCATAGAAATAGATGGTTTACCTATGAAAAATGGTGGCTCTTTCCATGGCAAACTGTTAAAAAACTATGTTAGTCATAACCAGATGGTAGTTCGATATATCATCTAACTGCATATATCTAATATAAGAAACCATATATCATATATTGTCATCCCATTTACCCTCTGGTTATTTAACATAGCCATGGTATAGATGGTCCATTTATAGATGATTTTCCCAGCTAGAAACCTCCATTTATTTTTGGGATGTTCCATGGCTATGTTAGTCATAACCAGATGGTAACTATTAGAAACCATATATCATCTATAAAGAAACCATATATATATATATCATTTTTGTTATCATCCCATTTAACTATTAGACACCAGCATATATCTCCCCTTCAGTTTCTGGATTTTCCCAGCCTTCAAGAAACCTCCGTTGACGATGTTGGGGATGTCCCACTTAGATTTCGCTATAAATGGGACCGGTTTCATATACCCGGCCTGGTAAACATACCAAAAACCGATGGAACATGGTGATTTATCGTGGATTTTCCCATGAAAAATGGTGATTCACTATAACATAAGGAACTGGAAAGATCCACCATGTTTAATGGGTAAATCAACTATTTCAACTGGGCCATGGCTTCAATAGTTTTTTGTATGCTTACCAGATAATATCTCATGATATTCCCTTAACATCTCCCCAATATATCCCTGCGAATCCCTATAAACAGATGACAATGACTTGGTTTGTCTCCATTAGTCTAATCTCTTTCCCTATGAACATCTTGGAATAACCATTACCATTACCCTCTGGTAAATTAACATAGACCCTGAGAATCACCAATTTTTAATGGAAACTAATCTTCAAACCCCTATTTGGCAGGGTCTATGTTTATTTTTACTGGAGAGTATTCCATTTATATGCCATCATGACACCCATATAAAACCATACAAAGCCATCTCAAACTGCCATGGAAAAACCTTCATTTTATCAGTTATCATGCGGTCATTGTCCCATGATATTTTCCCAGTATTCCAGCAAGATTTACCCGAACAAAATCACCCAGTTTTGTAGGTTTTTATGTACCAGCACCCTGAAGCTGGTTGGTGGTTTGGAACATGAATGGATTATGACTTTCCATTCAGTTGGGAATGTCATCATCCCAACTGACTTTCACTCCATCATTTTTCAGAGGGGTAGGTATACCAGCAACCAGATTAACATCTTCTATGGATTTCTATGGTTGGAGAATGGTAATAGATGGATATACCAGCATATACCAGCATTTACCAGCATTTACCCGCATCTTCCAGCATTTACCAGCATTTACCAGCATTTACCCTAAAAATCACCCAGTTTTGTAGGTTTTTATCTACCACCAAAATCGGGAGCGTCTTGGTAGCGAGATTTTCCGCTTCCAGGTGACCGTCGGAGACTACACCTGGGACCGCAGCAGCATTCTGCTCTCGGTGGGGCCACCAGGGCCACAGCAGATCCGGCTGCGGGGTGGACGGAATCGCGATCTCATGAAGAAAGCCTTGCAGGAGCCGAAAGATGGAACGGAGAAAACTCGTTGGTGCTGACTGGAACCATGGAATGGATTATGACTTTCCATTGGGAATAGTAACCGGACGAACTCACATTTTTCAGAGGGGTAGGTATACCACCAACCGGTAAAACTGGGCGAGTTTTCCGTGAAAAAACGGGGGGTTTTGGTGAGTTTTACTGGGTGAAGATGGCGAGTTTCCTGCTCATAGAGGTTTTAAGGGGAGCGTTCCTAGGGAAAACGGGATTTTGGTGAGATTTGATAATGCAGTACAATATGACAATAGGGAGTTAATGATCAAATTTGTGTGAGAATATATTATTTGCTGCGCAGGTTTTGGTCGAAATTAGGAACAAGCACTGGATTTGCCTTGCTTTATGATATTGCAGAAGTACATATCTCATATTTCCATTATATTAATCCCCAGTAGTATAGGGTTTGTCTGAAAATCGGATAATTCTGAATCATCATTGTCCCTAGTAAAATTGTCATTCGGAGGTATACCCCATCTTCAAACAGGCCCGTATCCCACTAATCACTAATCCTATCCCCCTAATACCCCCATAAACCGTAGTGTGGGTGGATTTACACATATTTGGGACCATTTAGGGGGTGTTTAATATTAGGGGGATGGGAGTACAGTGGTTCAATCCTCGTTTATATCAGGGGTAACGGATTCTGTTCTTCCGCCAGCATTTGGGCAGGAATGTCTCGATTCTGAGCGTGTCTTGGAGCGAGACCAAGTTATAAGGAAGCGACAAGAGTGGAGAGTGAAGCCTTAAATTTAGGAAGTTACCCGGCCTGGTAAACATACAAAAAACTATGGAAAATGGTGATTTATCTTGGATGAAAAATGGTGATTAACTAACATAACGAACTGGAAAGATCCACCATGCTATGTAGCTGGGTAAATCCACGAACTTTCGACTGGGCCATGGCTTCAATAGCAAACTGTTAGTTTAGAGATTCCTGTGGATGGAAAAATCCTGTACCACCTTGGTTGAAAGGTTGAAACCCTATGAATAAGGGGATGTTTACCATCTATCAAGTGGTGCAGGATTTCGCTGGCCCATCCACAGTTCCACCATCAAATCTCTCTTAAGAAGGAGAATGAACCAATTTTGCAGTAAAAAAACACCAAAGAATTGGAGAAATTGTCTGTGGGGGGTCCCTTTCCGAGCCAGATTTCCTGGATTTCTGAGATCTGAGACTCCCCTTTTCGGCGGATTTTCTGGAGGTTTTTTCCACCGGGAACCGGCGGTTTTTCATCAAGATCAGGATAGATCAGGTACCCCAGTGACATGTGTGTTGGTTTATAAACCCTATCTGGTTGGTGGTTTGGAACATGTTTTATGTTCCACACTATATGGAATAATAATCCCAACTGACTAATATTTTTCAGAGGAGTTGAAACCACCAACCGGCTATAAAGCTAGTTTTGTTGTGCTCCCTTTCATCAACAATAAAAGTTTGTTGCTTGACTTTCGCCCAAAAAATACATAAAAATAGTCTATAGTCAAGTGCATGACCCCCATCAACCATCGAGAATTCGCGAAGTTTTTGAGTCAACTTAGCTACCTACTTGGGCATCTCACTTAGTAAATGGTTTATACCCGCAGTTAGATTAGTGGAAATATCATGAAATATCTCCAGAATATCCGGAATTTTCATTTGGGTTATATATTGTTAACGATTATAAACCACTAAGTAGGATGCCCTCCGGTAATTTGACAGTGTGCTATTGAAAATGGTCATTTAGTTCGTTGATCATCGTACAGTGGTGACTTTCCAGTTCGCAAACTGTTAGTTTACCAGCAGTTACCCATTATCAGGCCTTTTGTGTTTCACCTTACCTTTGATTTTAAGGATTATAAATTATAAACCACAAAGACCTTTGTGGGATACCTATCAGGCTGTTTCACCAAGCTTCTGTGTGGCTTGGTGATTTATATTTCATAATTATATAATTAGTGGTTTCATGGATTATATAAATAGAAACCACAAAAACAGTACCTTTGTGGGATACTTGTACCTTTCACCAGCTTTTTGTGTTTCACCAATCAATGGCCATTCCAGGATCCTAAATTGGAGGTACCTACCATATATAAGGCCTATTTTTCAGGCCTATGTAAGGGGATATACACTCAAAATATGGCCAAACATATGGTACTAACGTACCTCCATCGATTGGATCCTGAAGATCTCCCATTGAACCAAGGTTCTGTATGGCTTGGCTTCAAGAAATTTCGCGTTGGGATGCCTTGGTGTTTGGTGCTTCGCTGTCCCTGCCTGGTGTTGTCCATGACCCTTCTGGCGGTCTTCGGCTTGATCGGCCTGGGCGTCACCAGCGCGCCCATCGTGTTGAATACCGACTTTGAAACTCGGTTTTTAAAAGAACCCTTTAAAGTAGTAAAAAAAAACATGGTCAATGGATGATATGTCTACAGTCAATGTTACTGGATGTTAATGATAGTCAATGGATGTTAATGGATAGTAAAATGGTACCCAATACAATGGGGTTTTAGAATTTATATGGTCCAAGAATGTTTGAGAATGGTTGATAATTTGTTTTAAAAAAAAACATGCAATGTGGGGCCCCCAAGATATCTAAGTTGGTTTATAAGCCCCAATAACTAGTTCGTTAAATACCATAAACCATAGTTATTGGAGTTATAAACCAACTTAGCTATCTAGGGGGCCCCACTTTGTGGTACCCAATGCAATGTGGGGTTGTTGATTTTATATGGTTCAAGAATGTTTGAGAATGGTTGATAAATTGATATAAATTGGGATACACTGCGGTAATGTCCCTAATTTTCCATGGTTAACTCGCTCCACGCTCCACGCGAATCGCACCTTAACGGAGCAATAGGGATTACCTTCTCTTTGCCTCTAACGTGGCTATGGAAAATGGATGACTGGTTGGTGGTTTGGAACATGTTTGATGTTTTCCATATATTGGGAATCATCATCCCAACTGACTAACTCCATCATTTTTCAGAGGGGTAGGCTCAACCACCAACCAATAAAAATGGATTGATTATTGCTTTACCAACATGTTGGATAATGTTCCCATTGAAATGCCATTTTTATACGGGGATTTCCCAGCCATGGCTATGGAAAATGGATGAAAAGGGCTACCATTTACAGAGAATCCCACGATTCACAGTACCAAAAATGCTGGTTTTCCGCTAGCCAATCATCGTTGAATAAATTTTGGGGTTTTCAGTACCCCTTTGGTATATGGAAACATCCAATACCGGCTTTAAAAACTGGTTTTGCCCCCAGTTTGATGCATGGAATATCATTACAAATTCATGTTGTTACTATTGATCCATGAAATAACAATAATCCATGGAATCATTATTCATAATAATCCATTTCAATGTGAAACCCAAATTTCATGGATTATTATGGATGGTTATTATGGAAATATGGGTTTCACATGGATTACTATTACCCTCCGCTGTCCTCAATGGCCGCGCCAAGATTTAGGACTCCTTCATGGACTCAGACAGCGCTGCATCGCTGAATTTCAATTCTATCGTGCAGGCAGGGCGTCTGCGTCGTTTACGTGTTTTGGGACGGGCAAAAAGCTACTCTGGCGGAACCTGAAAAAGGGGATATCTCACCAGATTTTCGCATATTTTCCTGGTGAAAATCGTGATCAACTACGGTGTTTGTTTTTCGGGATGCCACGGTGACATTACTTACTTGTTCCCTATTTTCAGACAAACCCACATGCGTGTGCGGGCCACAGGTAAAAAAATTGGTATAATCACGGTTATATACCCGCTTAGTTCACTGGTTTTGCACTTCTAAGTGGGGTAATAGGGGATTTGACCGGCAGAAATGGAAGGTTAGCCAAGAACAATAGAGATTTGAGTTTTGAGGGATATAAAGCGAAAACCATGGGATTACCAACAGTATGATGATTGTTGGGCGTGTTTGGAAAGGAAAGATTGACCCCCAGATACCTATCTTCATTCAAAAT